AGCTGTTTTCATAGGATCCCGATTTATGGGGGGCGAACGGGTTGCTCGCGTTTCCCGTTTCCCGGACGGATCTCCGTTTCGCTTTTCCCGTCGGGAGGAAGAGCGAACATTTGGAAGGTCCGATTCGCGACCTTTATCCCGGTCGGACGCGTCGGGGATCGATCGATCTTTCTCGTCGACGGCCGGATCTTCCTCTCCTTCGATCTCTTTCTCGAAAATCGCAGCTGTCGCGGCGAGAAATCGCGATTAATCAGCGGAAACCGCGAGAATTCGGAACGGGGAACGGGACTCGCGACGGAGACACGCGTCGCCGCCAAACGAACGAACGAACGAACGAAACGGACTCTCATTTTTTCACTGTTTCCCCGCAGGACGAAATCGCGTTGTGCACCCTCCCCCGGCGTGAGAGAAACGCGCAAAAATCCCCGCGTCCCCGCCGGCTGTGTCTGTTTCATGTTTTTCAATATTTGTAATTTATCGATAAAATTATTAAAACGGTATCGATACATAACAGTCTAAAGTGTGCGCTACTCTACATAATATTATTATATATAAAGTATAAAAGTATACATTATATATATATTATATATATATACATATATATTATATATGAGAAGTATAATATATATATTATACACACATTGGGATTGGTGAGAATATACGGTTTTTTCGCTTTGGAGTGTTATTTTCTGAAAATATTGAACAAAATATGGAAAAAAAAATTAAAAAATAAAACCAATGAATAAAAACGAAAAAAAAACAAACATACATGAACGAACCGTTCTTCTGTGATTCTTTCATTGTTACTGACTCGATCCGCGGCTTCTTCGATCGGCTCGGCTCGACGGACGCGCTACGGCCGGCCGCGGTTGACAGTTCCCTCGACCGAGGAACGCGCTGTTTCGGGAGCATGCTGGATCCGGTGAACCGTGCGACGACCGGGAACGAAACGCGTCGATCGGACGAACTTGGAATCGAGGTTGAGTCTTGATCGAAAGATCCCGATCGTCCTGTAGCTTTCGGATAGAGAAAAGAAAGGGTCGCTTACGATCTCGTCCCGTCTCGCGTACGCTACCGGAAACTTTGTTTCGATCCGGGAACTGAAAGCATTCCCGAAATTATAGTCGACCGGGAATCCGGACGATCGGCCCGAAGTTTCCGGCGGACCCGGCGAGAAGTTCTTGCACACCCTTCCCCCGAAGTTCAAGAGGTCGCGCGGCAAACCGATCGGAATCGCGAGCGAGGACCCGTCGGAGCTCATCGAGTTAGAATTCTCTAGTCGCCGGGATCGAATCTAGACGCGTAGAACTCTCTCGTCTTCCTGTAGATCGCTGGCGGATCTTCTCGAGATCGCCGATTACAAGACCAACATGGCGTCCTTTTGGTTCCTGGACACGCTGGCGCTACAGGTTCACAGGCACAGGGGGAACCTGGACGATCGTTATCTGAGCGTCTTGATCAGCTGGCTAGCTGGGGAAATGTCGCTTATCCGGGGTAACCGATCGCGATTCGCACGCGATACTTCGATTTAAACTCCTGTCGATTCGCAGATAAGAGGCTCTCGCGCGGAGAGTTTCTCAGGCTGATGAAGGAGATGTTTCGCCTCGCCGCGAATGTAATTGCTGGAGAAAACCGATGTCCTTATTGGGATGAGATCGAAGTGGCCGAAGGAATGGAGGAAAACGTGGAAAATGGAGATTCTAGCTCGAAGGATCCTGAAGGAAGTTCGATGGAAAAGTAGTTTAGCTACCCCTGTTTTAGGATTCCCTGTGAGTATCCCGTTTTTCATTCGTGTTCCTAATTGATTTTTGCAACAGGCAATCTAGGGACCAGCGGAGTAACTTGGATAAGAAAGAGTTTTCTGGAGATCGAGATCAGACTGACGGTTTCTTCAGCAATGTAGAACCGATTTCTGTGCTGGACACTATAATGGAGTCTACCTACGATATGTAAATTTATTTTAACGTTTATACGATGGAGAAGTATTACAAGGGAACAGTGTATTAATGATTTTCTCTATGAAGGTACGCCAATGAATTACGCTATTTCCTCGTCTATTCAGTCTTCGTCGAATCGATCGAAGTGCAATCTTATCAGCTGCCATTCACTCTGAGGACGCCGCGTCCTGTGAAGCTGGTGGATCCCAAGTCGATGCCTTTCTGCGTGGGGCTTCGCAAGAAATTAGAAAAATTCGGAACCACCGATAAGTCGAAGAAAACGGAGAAAATAGCGACAGGTGCTGTAGAATGCTTCTACGAATAATGACCTTGCGATCTGAGTAAAAATCTCGCGATTTTCGATGTTCCAGGCAAAGGCAAGAAAAAGGATCCATCGGCGGTACCGAACACCCCTTCGTCTTCGCTCGTCGACGAAGAAATTCTACTCGAGAAGCGAAGATTTATTCTGCCACTGATAGAGGCGAACGAAACGATGAAAATATTTGACATGCTTGGAAGAGACGATTAAATAGCGAGACACGTAGGCATTAATGCCAAATATTTCTTTATTTGTTCGCGATCATGTTAGGAGCAGGGTGCCCCATTCTCGGCACCGGAAATCTTTAACTGCGATAGTTCCAGGGATTTCTAATTTGATGAACTTTGACGAGCTCTGTAAGGCCTCCCCTGATTGTCCTAACTGTCCATATTTGTTGCATCCGCAACCCCAAAAGGTGCCATCGTCTGTTAAAACAGAAATAATACTTTGGTATACTTTTTCCCCTCGTTTCCTGATCGAAGATACGTACCAGTTACACATATGGTGAACGTGTTCCCGCATTCGACTTTCTTCACGAATATTTCTACGCTCTCGTTTTGGTCGTCTGTAAAATTTATTAATGTGGGCACAGCGACCACTTTACTCTCCATATTAGGCAGGCCTAGCTCCGAGTTCGTATTCCACCCCCATGTGTACAAGTCGCCCTACGATCGAACAGGTTTTTTTTTCTTGAAAAATAGGTTTCTGATTGTTGGTGGATTTTTGAAAAATTCGGGATATTAACTTGATCTGTAACTACGGCGCTGTGCCAACCCTGTGCCGAGATGCAAACAACTTTTAGACCGGCCAGAGCCTCGATCAGTGTAGGGTTGTCGCAATCCTCCAAATCATTGTGCCCTAATTGGCCACGTCTGCGTTATATAAATGATTCGTTGTACTGTAATGTTGCATTAATCTTGGACACTCGATAGACGATACGTACGTTCCTATCCCCATCGAATATACGTCACCACTCTCTGATAGTAGGATAGTGTGGTCAAACCCACAGGCAATGTCTATGAATTTTACCCTCTTTGGCATTTCGACTAACGTAGGGGCATTAAATACTCGACCTAAAGTGTCAGTAGTTTGGAATTGGAATTTTATTTACTATTAGACTTTTAATATGGTAAATGTGTACCTAAGTTAGTAAGGACCACAGTGCAACCCGCTCTGAGGACTTTAACAGGATGTTCTTTAATCGAATCATCATTGCTTGGTATGAAATTTGTCACCTTCTTCCAAAAACCATTGTGCTCGTAGACCATATATTGCCAAAATTCATTTTGGTTCGATAAGATCACTATATTGTCTTTACCAGCTACAGCTGATTTACAACTATAACAGTAAACGAAGTTTCTATTGACTATTCCCTGAGGAACATTTGGAATCAGATATTGTACCTGTTTAACGGATTATCTGGTATCTGTAATAATTCAGTAATTGTATCTCCCTCCTCGGTTTTCTTACAAATATATAATTCCCTTCCCTTCCACAGGAGAAAATAGCTCCATCCTATTTGGAAATCGGTAAGTCCGGCAAATGAAATTTCAGTGAACGAATCTACTGTATAATCAACATCTCCATCATCAGAGAACAATGTACAAGCATTAAATCCGGCGTAATAAAATGACATGTTTCTATCACTAACGTAAATTGTTGTTTGTATGGAAATATATGTGGAGAACTTTAAACTATGTTATCTAGGCGTAAGACCGGAATACTATACAAATTTGTAGACAAGAAAATTGGTGTCAAGGATTTCGCAATGGTATCGATGCAATTATTGTTTACGTAGTAAGGTAAAGTATCTATACCCAGATTATAGTTTCTAGGCAGATACTATAAACATTATTGGCCAAGGTGTACAGGTGTAGAGCTCTAGTTTCCTTAGTAACCAGAGTAACAACACAACAAACCCGTTGGACGATAAATTCAGTAGTTGACGTGTCGTGGTTAATTGTCACGACGTTTTACTTCCTGTTTAATACATAACGAACGAAATATGGTAACGATAATAAAAAATAATTAATCATTCTTTCCATGCACAAATCGGGCCAGTATGCACCTCTTTTTATTGTACGAAGCCTACATTTTCAAACGTGAGACACGCACAACATAACCTATCACTGACTGCACTTTCAAGATTTAATGCAATTTACTTCGTTAGAATACGTTTCGTTAAATACAGAATACACGATCCAAGTACCAATTGCATTCTTCTCTAAGAATCAATGACAAGTGCACATGGCTTGATAAAGTATTTCGCAAAAATGTGTCACAAATTGAACCATCGTTTCCCAAGCAACGATGCAGCTGCAATACCATCTGCTAGGCTTCTGCTAGCTGTCTGCTAGAAGCGCGTAATTTAAATGGTACTTTAAACGTTCTTACGATTCCTCCTTGTTTTTACAAATAAGAATCGTCCACTTTCTCTTTTCTTTTATTTCATCCTTCGAGCATGTACTTACTGTCATATATGTACCATTATCACTAACATATTGTCATCTACATTTAACAAACAACTAATAAAAATAAAATCATAGGGGCTACTATCAATCTTAAGAAAACTGCGCTCGAATCCTGACAAGGAACTGCGTTTGCTCCTGCTTGGTCTGGACAACGCTGGAAAAACGACCATCCTGAAATCCTTAGCCAGCGAGGACATCACGCAGGTACCAATTGTCTCCAAAATCGCAAAAGCACGAAACCAGTTACCATTTACTATCAAAAATCACTTTAACAAGCGCCACGAAAATCTTGACTATTTTTACAGTTATCTCTTTTAGCAAAGAAAAGTAGCAACAAATATTCACTGCTTGGCGTTACAACCTTTGCATTATACTTTTATCAACTTAGTTACGTTATTAACACTAGAATAACCAGATAGATCAGAATGACCCATTCCCAAATATTCTTTTTACAATTATTAGAAAAAAATAGACCTCCAAAAAATTCTCAAAGAAATTGTTTTAGTAATACGCAAACTAAGTTTTGAGTGATCGAAGTCTCCATCCACCGTTTAGGTCTCTATAGAAAGATTTTGGAAAGTCAACTTGTCTGCTTGGTAGTTCTAGTGTCAAACATTCTCGACATCGATTATGTAACAATTGTTTTCAATTCTGAAGCGTCAGCCATCAATAATTAACATGGCATTTAACTTGTAGGTAACCCCGACTCAAGGCTTCAACATAAAAAGCGTGCAAAGCGAGGGCTTCAAATTGAACGTATGGGACATAGGGGGTGCTCGAAAGATCCGCCCCTACTGGCGCAACTATTTCGAGAACACCGACGTCCTGGTAAGTCCAGACTCTCCGAAACGTCGCGCGGAGGAGACTGCGTAGCTAACTTCTAAGCCAAAGGTGACTGATAAGCTCGTTATCCCCAAAGATCTACGTTGTGGACAGCGCGGACATAAAGAGACTGGAAGAGACCGGGCAAGAATTATCGGAGCTGTTGCTCGAGGAGAAGCTGCGCGGTGTGCCGTTACTGGTGTACGCCAACAAACAGGATCTCGGGCAGGCAGTGACCGCGGCGGAAATCGCGGAAGGCCTCGGACTGCACAACATCAAGGACCGGGACTGGCAGATCCAGTCTTGCATCGCCACCGAGGGGAAAGGTGTCAAAGTACGTTTAACGGTAACTTTACGGCGGCGTCGAGTGCCGATTAAACATTGACGGGAATCGTTGAACACGACAGGAAGGCCTGGAGTGGGCGTGCAAGAACATCAAGAGGAAGTAACGCGGAGGGAAGGATCTTCTATTCCACGATCAACGGGAGCGTTGGATAAACAGGAGACAACCTCGCTAGACGCCTCCTGTACAACCATAATTACGTTTTATTTGGCTTTTATCTAATATTTACAGGAGCTGTTTGCTGACAGATTGGCCGTTGACGAATTCGATACACGATGGAGACGCGCGTGCGCGATCGCACACTAGTCGTCGGACTTCCGTGCCCCTAAATAAGAACACGCGTTTGATGGCGTGCCTTACACGTTTCTCTCGTCGGACTTTTCTAGATTCCTTTAGAGAAAATAAATATATATTATCTATATATATATATATTTATGTATATATATATAGAGTGAGAGAGAGGGAGAGAGGGGGTTGGGGATGGGACGGAGAGAAATAAAGGGTTCTCATAGAATTGAACGCCTAGTTATTCGACTGCGCCCACGACTCCTGCTTTTTTATATGTACACGCGAGGAAGCAAAAGGTAGCTGCCTCTGGCGCACAGCCTCTGCTTCGTCGACTTTCGTCGCGGATCGAGCCCCCTCGTCAGAAACGACTCGGTAACGGTTCTTATCACGATACAACCTCGCTGCGGACGATAAACATTTAATAAACGATTCGACGCGTTACGCTCTCTCCTTTAAACCGAATGTCTTTCACAGGCGCGCACGTCTCGAGATCATTAAAGTTCACTGTGGATGCTCGCTGTGCTGACTCGGATCTCCTCCTCGTGGAAGTCTGTACAGTCGGCTGGATATTTTTGCTGAAAATCGAGAAGTTCGTGAATCCTCGGCACCTCGTTCGTAAATAACAGAGATCATTGGATCGCGGGTTTCTATGCGTTCGTGGGAATATCGCGGAATCGCGCGGGATGTACTATAGAAAATGTTCGAACCGTGTAGCGTATGCAACGTTCGTCGAGCGACGATGTTTAACTGTAATCCTGAGAAATTGAATTTGCATAGATAGCCGCAGATCATCTTTTACTTACGATACATCCGCTGTGTTCCGTGATTGCTCCGTAGAGCGGCCAGAAACTGGTTCCTAGTTTGTTGCTAACAGCCCAAGCTGCCGGATAGCTCGTCGCGACGAGCAGACCTTTCCGCAGAGGCGACTGCTGTTTGTCCTGCTCGTTTTGCTCGTTTATGGTGCACAGAATCTGGCTGGCGCACTGCGGCCTCTTGATCGACCATTTGTAGGCTCGATAAGACTAAAAAATAACCGATGGATATCTCGTCAGTCGTCTGGCATTCCAAACTTCTCCGGCTTTCTCTCGCGCTCGATTTCCTACCTTCAGCATGGGGTCGATAATATCGTGATTGATCATTTCGCTGAGTCTGTTGCTGATCTCCCTGGCGTTCACCCGGGACATTATGAACCCCTTCTCCGAGGCCAGGGTAATTAACTCCTGCACGTACGCGACTGCCGGTCTAATGTACTGCGAGCTGTCGATCTTCATGCCCACGTGCCTCTTCGCGACAGCGTTCACCACCCTGTTCGATGGCATAAAACACTTTACCGATCCTTTTCACTGAATTAACCCTTTGCACTCGGAAATATCAGATTTTACAATTTTACTGCGTCGAATCAATGACTGAGTCACCTCCCGAGTGCAAAGGGTTAAAGAATAGCTTTGTGGATCCAATGTCTTCAAATAGCCCCAAATATTACCATTAACGTTCGAGAGCAAAGGAATTGACTCTAAGCTCGTTCTCATAAACAACGTCGACTACAAATTAGTCAGAAGTCAGAAGATCCCAAACTCTCACCTGGACAAGCTGTCCACCGGTCTCTTCGCGTCGAACATGGCCGACTTCGGGAATCCCTGCGACTTCAGGAAGCTGTTGCCCACGAACTGCGCCGTGCTCAGGTACCGCTGCTGTATCTGCGGGTCGGACACGTGCGAGATCCACTCGCCGACGTAGTTCGTCAACGCTCTGATCCACCTGCGCCGCAGGGACGGGTTCTCGAAGCTGTCCAGCATCTTCTCGTACTGGAGGCGCCCCTCGGGGTCGGACATCTGGCTGACGAACTGCGACAGTCCGCTGTTCTTCCACAGAGTCTGTCCCAGTTCCGAGTTGCTGAAGTGCTCCCATATCACGTGCAGGTTCTCCAAGATGGGCGGCATGTACCACGAGTGGCTGGAGTGATCGTGAGGGTTCTTGGGCTGGCCGTCGACGTCGTTGCCACTGGCGAAGTTCTGCAACAGCATGGGCAGCAAGCCCATCACGAAGTCGGCGTTCTTCTCGCCGCTCTGGCCGAACAAGGTGCTGCCTAAACTCAAGAGGCTGTCGAAGTCCAGGCTAGACTCCTGCTTCTTCTCGGCTTCTCTGACTCTCTGGCTACCGTCGTCGACCTCCCTGGTGGCTCTTTGATGATTCTCTTCCTTGGTATCGGTGCTCACCATGCTTTCCAAAACAGATCCTATCACCGAGTAATCGATCCCCTGGCGGTTCTCGTTGGTCGCGAACAGGGTGCCTATCCCCGAGATGATCTGCCCAATACCGTCTAGATTCGATTTGCCCAGCATGCCGTTCTCCTGTTCAGTGGAATTCTACGATTAGCGGGCTTCGCGCGCCAGCATTCTAGGTTTCCATCGAAATCTACCTGTTTCCCGGTGCCCGGCTGCACGAACGCGCTGGCGAAGCCCTGCAGCGCGTTCAGGTTGTCCTTGTTCGTGAAGAAGGACTTGGCCGCCTCGAGGAACACCGCGGAGGCATCGTCCTCTTCGTTCTTCTCGCAGCTCGCCAGGCTGAACAGGATCAGCAGGATGCACGTTCTCGGCAGCAGCATCTTTCCTCCGTCAATTCTTCAGTCCTCGCCCGTTCCTGCGGAAATCAACGAGTCTGTCATCTACCTGGGCGAACAAGCGACCGTGGAATCCGCTGGCAAGCGGTCCTAAGCCACGGAAGGCAGGAGTCGTTGACCTTCAACCGGACCCTGACGCTGGTCGAGTTATTTTAGGAAGGCGCGGCTTTTTCGAGGCCGTCAGCCGACACACCGGAAACGTTTCGGCTCGTGGTCACTCTGGTGTACCGTTGCGTGCGTCTGTTTCCTCTCTCTTTCCCGCGCCGCGCAACAAAGGACGATCGTCGACAATGCGTGCCGTTGTCGCGCGGCGTTCGAAATATATTAGACACCCGTGTTACGCGAATTCCTCTAACCCGAAGATGCGACTACTGTCTTCGTAATACGATTCCTCGTGTAACGCGATATGCAGTAGAATACATGAACGTCTCGTATTTGACAATGGCGTGAGTTGTAGTTCAGCGTTCATTGTTTCCTTAATTCTTTCTTAACACTAGAACTACCGAGTTAAATCGTCCTTTTCAAATTGTTCTGTAGAAACCTGAACAGTGCAATTATTAAGACTTGGTTTCCAATTCAGTTTGTGTATAAATCGGTTTCTCTAGTACCTTTTCAGAGAAGCATCTGTTATCTGTCGAATAACTGGGAAAAATGGAATCAAGAGGTTCTAGTGTTAATTCCCTCCTTCTCATTTTCTCCTTGGTAATAGTCACTCACATACCATAGTTATGTAACTATATTATACGCGAGAATCTCGTACAAATTTCCTATAACACAAATTCATACGTATCAGTCACATTATACGTACGTCTACCGATCCAACAATTCAATCTCAATCTCGAATTCCAAGAACTACGTTCATCAAAGTGTCCCCAATACAAGTATCAAACATTCCAGAGCGAGAGATCAACTTGCTTTCGATAGGCCGCTGTCCTCCCGTAGAATTCGAAAATGTTCAACGGGGCCGACCTTGGGATTCAGCGGATCGGAAGAGCGGAGGCGTCGACGGCGCTAGCACGTGGTGAACGGAAAAGAAACGGCGAACAATCGGAGCGCGGTGTATCCTAACGCGCAATTCCAGTACCGTAAACCGTATGAAATTGACATTCTCGAGGAGGAACGACGATTCGGGCTAACGGTACCGGCAGTTACTCATCGTTCCTCCGACGCGCCGAACTCGCGTCAATCGAAACGGGGCACCCGGCCGGCCGGGATTCCATTCGCGGGACCGGGAGGGTAGGCGGTTCCTCCGGTCGAAATTGAAATCGAGTACACGTCCAACGGGTTGGCCCTGTTTCGGCCCGGATTCGCCGTATGACGCGCGAGTACCGATATTCTCGGAGCGAACCCGCTGCCCGGATACGCTTCCAGCCGAGCCGCGATGAGAACGAAGCGTAGAGGTACACGGTTCCCTCGTACAATGAAAGAATTTATAAATAATAACACACCTAGGGATCTCCAATCTTCTATAATTCTCGAAGACTTACCGTTACAACACCAAAGAAATATATTCCATCGCTCCTCCGATCAACGTTTCCAGCCTCTGCAGCTCTACTATGAGCGTCGCGTGTTCTAATTCACCCTTTGTACTCTGTGGGCTCATCATTTATAGCGCTGAATATAACAAGGTTGAAGGAACTACTCTAATATTATTGCATTTGCTACGTTTTGTTCTTAAAAAATGAGAAATCTAAGAAACTACTATAAAGTAGCTTAGCGTTGGTACCTTCGAAAATCGGTTGGAGTCGTGAAGAAACGTCTAAGAGTCGCTATGTGCTCTAAACAATTCGTATTCGCGTTTGATCGCCCTATTGGATTGGAGCGCAAGTCTCGAGGAAAGGTGCCCAATGCAACCGGCGGCTCACCGTGCGCGCGAAAGCGAGCGAATCCGCTGGCCGACCCAAAAACGCAACGAAATCGACCCTGCGAGGGGGCCGACCCAGTTTCCGAGCGAACCTCGCCGCGCGCACGTTTATTTATCAATTTCGCGCGTAAACACGGAAAGTGCAAGATGCGGTTGTTCGCGTGGACGAGAGGGAAAGCGCGAGCGGAACGTCCGCGAGGGACCGTCCTCCGCTTCCAAGGTCAGGCGACGCAATTTCCTGGTTCAGGGGCACCGTGCCTCGTGTCGGCCCCCTTCGTTGGCCGATTTCCCTGACCCCTGTCGCCCGGCGTTTCCTTTTCCCCGGCCCGTAGAGCGTGCGGGGATGAAAACTGGTAACGGTACCGATTCGCGCATTATTAATGGCTCTGCTCAACAACGCGTACCGTTCTCGGGGATCGACGCGACGGCCGATGGCGAACCTATTAGGCCATCCAGAGGTTCACGGGCTCCCAGGTAAACCGGCATTTTGCCGCGTAATTAAAGGAGCTCGTTAGACACGGTCAGCCTAACTTCGTACGCCGGCTGAGCTCAATTTGCCGCGTCCCGCGCGGCTGTTCGTTCTCTTTCGAGCAGGTTACTCCGGAATGCTTCGAGTTTCGAGGATTCGAAGATTTTCCGCTTCTTCTCTGTACTTAGATAATAATGCCGTGGAATTAGTGAATTGAGAATCGCTCGCTGCTTGAATGATAGCGTTCCCGAATGAGAACCTGATTAGGTCATTCTGTACGTAATTGTATTCTCTTTGCACTTTGTTGGAGACAAAGATTTGAAGAAATCTAGTTTTTGTAACACTGTAGTTTTCCTAAATAACATCAGCTTGTCAATTTCGAATGGCTTGAGAGTATGTGAACCTTTCGACATTTAACCCTGTGACTCGCAGTCATTCGGTTCGATCTAGATTTTAAAAATTCTAAAATTCTGTATTGAATATCTAGTTTCATCTGCTGTTGTCTCTATCATATGTTGTCTCTATCTAATACCATCCGAAATTACATCAAAGGTTGAAGTTCGAACGAACACGGATGTTCCCCGAATCTTTCGGCTCCTCGATCTCGGTCGCCGTAGGGCCGAGGCACGGGAGTTTTGGTCATGCACGCGGAATCGTCTCGGCATTCCTCCGCGATTCGGTGAAAGGCGGCGCGCACGCGGAACGGACGAGCCGCGCGGACAACGGACACGCGAGCCGAGCGTATTCGTCATCCGGAACTTCGTGTTCGACGATTATATTCCTGACGTGGTTACCGTTTTCGTTATCATTACAGTTAGCATTGTCACAACGAGCGGCATGAGATAACGACCGTCAGTCGCCGCGACACTTGAGTTTCCCTGCGAGCGCACGTTTTCCAACCGGATATAGATTTTGGGGAATCATTTGCGTAATGAGAAGCATAACAATAATGCAGTGTAATCTAAATATTCCGGTAAAACGGAATTCTCAGAGGAGAAACATGAATATGCGATTCCAGCTTAGGGTGTTCAGCAGTTTCCAAAACATTCATACGAAATCTATACATCGACGCTTCTAATTACGATCCTCGTCGTGATCGTTAATAACCCACTATACAACGATCCCACAAAACAAAGAAATGAAATACAGTACAACATTTTCAGTGGACTAGTTGCATTGCAATCGCGTGTAGTACTCGTGGCGAATATTTAAATGTTCGACAAACATAAATATGTATTACTCGATTCCTTTCAATTCAAACTAAACATTCTTCTTCTGTTATCAACTGTTACGCTCGAAACCTTCAAGTAAAATATACCTCCAATTGCCTTCTGTTCCCAATGAATCATTAACTTTCCTTTTATCCGTCACAATTAAAACAGAGTCATACGACGAGTTAATATCTAAGAAACTGTGAATCTAAAATTTCACGTTTCACCTCCTCCTGTCTACCCTCCCCACTCGTCGACGTTTCATTCCGTTCAATGAGTCACGCAGCGCGTACCGAAATATCGAGTGAGACGATGGTGTTCCACAATCATTTAGCGAAAAAAAATACGGTGAGTCGCGATTATACCGTTCGAAACGGGCAGTTATCGGTATGCAGATAACGAAGAGCCTTGGACGTCTCCCAAAGGCTGCGCGAACTGGTAATCGAGGCGAGAATAGCAGTAAAACCGTCCCCCGTCCGCCTCTCACCGAGAATCGAGAGGTTCCAAGCGGATCCGGCCGCGGCACCCGCGGGAACCGTTCCCGCTCGGCTTTCGGGGCTTCTTTTCCCGGCCGAAAACCGGGAGACTCGCTCCCGATGGGAAATTCTCGAAACGGGTTATGAAAATCCGCGCGGCTGCGGGGCAACGGTAGTCGCGATCAACTAGAGCGTGCTCGATAACGCTCCCATCGTGGATACGATCATTCAAGCCTGACACACCGGTACTCGAACGCGCGTCGCACGCCTCGCACACGCACCGAGACGAGAACCGCTTGCGCGAATCGCTCAATCGGGTTCACTGATCCATGGAGATCGATTCAGGAACGAATCGCGCTGCTCCTCGCGTAATGCGGAGAACCTCTTAATGATTAGCTCGGGATTATTGTTTCCGCCGTTCTTTCGACTACCTTGCGACGAGTGCTGATCTCTGGGAGGACGATTAGGAAATTAACCCTTTGCCTTGCAATAACGTGTCGGACTCGTGATGAAGATTTTAAAGTTTAACAAAGAAATAGAATTCTTGTGAATTCAAATGAGATATTCTTTTGTTATCGATTGCTGTACTTTGTACCAATTGCTGTAGAATATACCTAGATTGTTTGATTTTCAATGAATTGTTAATATAGTATCATAGTTGAGAACATCATAAGAGGTTCGATTTGTATGTTTATTTCTGCGTTGCCCTTTGAAGTACGTTTCAGAGCAATTCTCTTCAGTCGTTCTCAAACTCAAACTCTTAATCGCTCATCAGGGATCTTATGATTCTCTGAACGAGTGTCTTGGAAAGAATACAGATTTCTGTATCAATGATGAGAAGCTTAATGCATTGACATTATCGAAAGAATTTGAGGATTTCCTCGATTTTCATTAGACACACGAAACTTTCGACGATTATCTGTCTTAGAAGTATCTATCTTAGAAATCAGAAGCTTTATTAACACGCCCTTCGAACGAAATTTGAGGAAGTCCTATTTATCATAGACCCACGAAATTCCTGACGATTCCCTGATGGAAAGAGTATAGAACTTCGGGATTCCCAACTAGATTGAATCTATCAATAAACTGCTCTATAGCAGGAGGAATATAGAAGCTCCACTCGAAGCGATCCAATAGAAGTACTTAAGGAAAAAGTGGCACTCGTGGAATGAAGTGGAAGATCGACGGATCGACGTGCACCAGAGAGCTGGCGAATTAGACAGTCGTGAAACGAAGGGAGTCGTTCGGCCAAAGACCTTGTCCAGCCGCGTGAACTTACTTCGAGGCAGTCGTTGTCGGGAATAATCTTCGAGGCGTCGGTCGCCGGCGATCGGAGAACTCGCGAGCAGCCGATGAGAGTCCCGTTGGTCTCGAAATCCGCCTGAGCACCTGACGCGGCGGAGGTTGTGGCGTGACTGCCGTCGAAGGTAGCCCGACGAACGGTACTTACCGACCTGAAGCAGGTAAGCACGGCCACGAACGCGTTGCAGCACACTCCGTGCACCGGTTGTGTGCAGCTCGAGCGAGCCGAGCCGAGCCGAGCCAAGCCGATCCGAGCCAAGCCGATCCGAGCCGTGAAACGGAATATTTTCGAGAGGCTGCGCGACCGTACGCTTCCAACTGAATGGAGGAGATATTCGATTCGCGCGAACCCGTCCGCTCAGCTGGAGCTTCGAGGAAACTCGCGTTGTACACCTGCTCGCGGAAGAATACGCCTATAAATCATCGGGACTCGTTGGATCGGAGTCTGCCACGATTTTCGCCTTCGCCCGGCGTTAACCGGCGGAGCGGCGTACAACTGGCAGATCGGAATGAGCCGTTCCTAGCTTCTTTCGCGATTATCGAAGATGAATGTTGCTTTTAGAAGCTGTTAGACAAGTTTCAGGGTATACGGATTAAAATAGGAAATTAGAAAGTCGATCTGATTGATGATTCTAACGTTGAAAAACAGTTTGGGGCCGAAATGTATGACATGTTAGTTTATTCGTAGGAGGATCTTGAATTTTATAGGGGTTTCGTTATCGAATTCGATGTTCCTCGTTGAGTTTTCTACGGATATGTTCGTCGGAAGGTTTCTTTGGTGGATGATAAAGTAGAAATGAATTCTGAAACAGTTCTGGAGGGTCTCCCTTTATCGCCATCTTGGAATCTTGATCCCTACGCTGTACGTGTATGATAAAAACCGGCTTGGATCGGAGTTGCGTAGGATCCCGGCACTTTCGGTAGTTCCCTGCGTGACTCGGCGAGAGCGAGTCATCGACCTGATCGACCCAGGGAGAAGAATTGGGGAACGCGCGCGTCAACGGGGCACCGCGCCATGGCGTCCCGTTTTAATTCGAAACGCCAAGGTCGCGGCTCAGCTATGCGCATGAGCTGGCTGTCGCTCCGCCACGCGGTGTACTTTTTATTTAGGCTTTACGGGAATGAAGTAAACATTAAAAAGGCAAGGGAAACGTTTCAGCATTTAAGACGGAGAAATGGATTACCTCGATCAATGAAGCTGCTGATTTCATTACGATTATCACGAAAGTTACGAAACAAGCAGTATTCATTTCAAACATTTCAAAGTTATCTCTAAGACTTTCATATGTTACCTTACTCAACGCAAAACTGTTCACCAGAAATGATACCAAACATCACAAAAAAATGAAACTCTTGTTATTTGTACTTGGAAATTTCTCACTAGAAATGTTTAACATTTCTGTCGGATCCAAGGGAGATCAGCAGTACATTGAACAAAGCTATTCTAAATTTCTAAAGTTCCAAAGTTCAACGCTAAATATCAGATTCTACAGTTTCACGCGTCAAACCAAACGGTGACTGATTCGCCTTCCGACTGCGGCGTTAATGCTTCCACGTCTAAGTTTCATATTGAATATTATCATCAATAATTCCCCTGGATCAAGTGTTGACTGAGAGTGATACCCCGAGTGCAAAGGGTTAACGCTATTAACGTCCAAGTGGCAGCACGCGATCTGCCGATCGGCAGGATCCGACCGTCCGCAGCCGCTCGACCGCGTTTCGGCTAACCCCGTGTATCTCCCGGTGAACAGGTGTTGCGCGTATCGCGAGAAAAGAAAAAGGAGAAGAAGACGTGGCGAAAAAAACGCGCCGCGCGCTTAGGCGGCCGAAGGTGAAGCACCGTTACGGGGATCGGAGGTTCGTCTTCGGATTCGCGTTTTGCCCGGTGAACTTTGATACCTCGACGGAGGAACGCGAAACCGTTTCCTCCGCTCGTGGCTCGCGATCGCGATGAGTCACTCTCACGATCTCGTCCTGCGTCCCGTCAATAGTTAATAACGCCTCCGTCGCGCGGAGAGCCGCGACAGCTGACGGCGGAGTCCCCGGTCCCGAGGACACCGTTCTCTTTCCGGTGTCCGTTCCGCTCCGCCCGCCGACTTCTCTCGGCGCGGCTTTATTACATTTTTATCCGCACGAAAACTACCGCCTCGCCGCAACGAGCGGCCGTCCGCCTGAATAAAAGATCAAAGACACGCGGCCCGGGGGAACGCGACGCGCACGTAAGTGGGCGTCAGCGTTTCATCGGCCCGCCGGTTACACGATAAATCGTACGCCGCGGTGAACCGCAGGGAAACGGAAAGGTGTTCGCGAGGAGACGCTCCGCGGAACCCGACGCGTTGTAAGAAATTCGCTTCGATCCGTTGATATCCGGGGAGAATGGCGGAGAGGAAACACAGGGGGGACACGGCAACGGGCTTCGTCGTTTCCGAAAGGGTGCTTCGCCTGTTGGGGATCTGGCCCTTGAACGCTGACTGCGTCTTTAAGTCATCTCTGGGGCGATGGTGCTTCGCCATGCTGACGCAGGTAGTTCTGTAGAAGTAGATCTTGGATGCTGCTGTTGAGAATCGTGTCTTTGGAACTGGGAAAGAAGTCTTTAACGCGAGTCTTTGAACTTCAGAGTCGTCTGTTACTATATTAACGCGAAGAGGAAGCCTAGGTAATTTGAAATGCTTCGGAGATGGAGCTTTGAGTTTGAAATCGCCTATGCTGTGTTAATATAGCAACAAATCTGACAGACGGAGTTTGAGCATTCGAAGCTTCGAAGCTGAATCTTCGCTTCGAAGACAGTCTTTAAGGTTCAGCCTTGAAGCTTCGAAGACTCTTGTGTTTTACTGGAAGATACGTGTAGGTTATTCAGGTTGCCGTCAGATCTTCCAGAAATCTTTCTCCTGACTAGGTGAGCACCATCTGCAGCCTGTCTCTGGAGGTCTACCGTCACTGCCTGGACCTGGACGACACGATAGACGCGTTCGTCATGGATCTCTCCTCCGTCATCTGCCTGTCGAAGGTGTTCATCCTGCGGTTCAACTGGAAACACACCTACTCCCTCGTCAATTCGATCACGGAGGATTGGTCTGATGTGGAGGACTTCCGCTACCGCAGTGTCATGACTAAGTATCACGAAAAGGGGCGAACCGTGTCGCTGCTGATGCTGTACCTGGGCTACGCCTCCGGACTTTCCTTTGTCGTCAAGGCTTTGCCTCTGCACATTCTCCTGCCCTTTCAGGTTGAGTCAGTCTGTTCTGTGGATCAAACGTATTCAAGTCTTTGAAAGTTTTGGAAATATTCAACAGACGATATCTCCTAAAACTAATGGGAAAACACACTAAGACAAAGCTGTTTTGTCTTAATACTTCACATTTGTTGCATCACAAAGCTTAATGTTATGTATGAGATTTAAACGGTTTACGTTTGAAAGATCAGATCTTGGTAGTTTCTAGTTAGCTAATAAGTAGCTAATAACCAATAGAATAGTAAGTAGCTAATAATCAATCTTTTGCTTTGAGGACGTGGCTATCAGTTATCACTCAATCCAATATGAAACTAATAAATCAAATGATAATTCATAGCCACATCCGCAAAACAAAAGATTGATTATCAGCTACTTATTTTCTATTGATTATTAACTACTCATTATCTAATTAGAAGCTACCAAGATCTGATCTTTGAAACGTAAACTGTTTAAGTCTCATATATAATATTAACCCTTAGCACTCCAGATGGTTCTGTAATCTATCGACAACTGCAACTAATTTCTATGGCATCTCTGAAAAATGCTATAACATACCTTCGATCTTCTAATAAAAATCTAATAATTATTAATAGAAAATCTAATAATTTTAGGGTAGTTTCTTTGATCCATTATAATATCTAATATTATAACTGCTGCAATATTAAAGCCCACAGAGTTCAAAGGGTTAAGCTTTATGATGCAGCAATACGTCAAGTATTAAGACAAAATAGCTTTGTCTTAGTGTATGGTTTCTTCATTAGTTTTAGGAGGGTCTTCTAGAATTTTTTGAAACGTGAACCACATATCGCTCCCTTCCACAAACGTCTCACTCCGCGTTCCTCGCGCAGATACTTCACAGCCCAAGGAACTCGACGGACATCGTAGACCAGCAGTCCCTGAAAAGGGACTACTTCCTGTCGACCTACTGCGTGTTCGGCGCGCAGCCCGTGATCCACAGAGCCTGCGTGCTCGCGGTCCAGGCGGCTCACATATTCGTGAACGCGGTCGGCCATTGCGGCAACGACGGCCTCTTCTTCAGCCTGACGATGCACCTGTGCGGCCAGTTCGAGGTGCTCAAGATGAGGCTGGCCGAGATCGAGATCGAGAAGTCCGGCTATCGCAGGAAAATCGGCATGCTGGTGAAGCGGCACTGCCGCCTCGTGCTGCTCGCGGACGATCTGGAGCAGAGTTTCAACGTGGTCATGCTGGTACAGCTGCTGATGAGCCTGTTATTGCTCTGCGTCGAAGGTAAATACCTTCTACGTTCGAACGCGAAAGTTTTCTGTCACAGTTCAAACAGACGTTGACCCGGACTAATTAAATACGAGTTTCAGCGCGGTCGTTGGTCACTTTACGGCCGACTACGCTCGTCGCGTTGATAATCGCCAACCTTGTTTCTTTTTTTCTTATCGTTCAACGAGCGCTCTGAATATCAACTCAGGTATTGTTAAGTGCTAATAATAACGCGCGACTCTAAAGAGACTAGGAGAATTATCCAAAAAATGCCCTTCAACTCTCTTTATCGTTATCATTATATTTTTCTATATTCGGAACAAATGACGGATATAACCGTAATTTGCCTAGATATCAAAAAACAGCTGCTATCAACACATTAGATAGCATTATTTACAATACAGGAATGTTTTCAAATAATCATCGTTTAGTCGCGGAAATTGCAGTAACTGAACTCAGGTGGGATCACCGGTGACCCCCATGGGTTTTAACTGGGGTTTTGTTCATTTCAACTTATATCAGTTACATTCGATTCATTTATTTATTATTCAACACGAGAGTTTCCATTACAAATAGAGATACTTCTAATCGAAAGGAGTCAACTATCTACTTTCACCAAAAATACATTGCGTACCGGCTAATTTTCAGAAAACTGAATTGTGATGGTAATTTTCAGAGGTCAACTTATATCACTATACATAGAAAAACTCAGGTATCATGTTATCTAATATATATTAAATAGATAATCAATTCGAATTAAATTTTATATTTCTTCAATGCTGTGGTAATTAGCGAACAAAGCTGTCTTTATATAAAAACGAGATTTCTCGTTACCGGCACGCAATGTGTAATATACGAGTATTTATTCAATACTGCTCGACAGCACATGGAAATGGTACTTTTCCGTTTCCCGCATACAATGTGTTGGCAAAACAGTGATCGAGCCTCTTACCCATTCTTTCGCGACCGCTTTTCCCGCAGCTCAAGCGGTTCTCCTGAAAGCAGGTTTCATGATGATCGTCTGCCTGAACGCGAAGGACAGAGTCGGCACGCTGAAGTGCACGGTGATCGTGGTGACGTTGCTGATGCAGCTGTACGTCTACACCTACGCAGGCGACGCCCTCGAGTCGCGGACCGGCGAAATCTCGTTCGCCGCCTACGATTCGGACTGGTACCGTTCCCGGGGCCACGCGGCGAGGGACCTGGCACTGATCATCAACCGCGGGAACTCGCCCTTCCGCGTCACCGCCGGGAAATTCGTGCCCATGAACTTGCTCACGTTCAAAGAGATACTAAAAGCATCCGCCTCTTACATGTCCGTCCTGAAGGTAATGATGGACGCGTGAAAATTCGCCAAGAACGTGCCGCAGTCTTGAACGCGCTTCAGAATCGCGGAGCGATCGTCATCTTCGAGCTGCTCGGATAGGTGTCTGGGAACTAGAAGACTGCTGTCATCGCACCAGAGTCATTTGCATTCACATATTCTCTTCTCCGTGTCTGTCTCCATCTCTTCGTCTATCTGTTGAAATACAATATACCGTGTGTATCTTTTTACGACACAATAAAGACAATATTACCGTAGTCGAGCGACAAGATGGACGATCCTTGTCCCGGTCTTCAATCGAACGTTAAATCATTTCTTCGAGTTCACAAAGAAATTTACTCAAATCATGTTATTACGATTAGTTGCATATAACTAATCGTCTAACTATTCGACTATATACTTACCAGACAAGCGAAATCTCCCAACAAAGCAAACATCGCGCCAAAAGTTCTAATTTCGTAACGTTATATTTAACGAACGATCTATATCAGCTTCCCATCTCAGCCATTAGTCGACAGAACATATCACCTGTGTCCACTCCCGAGGAGCAACGAGAACACTGGACAGTCCGATAGCAGTGTCTCCGATAGCAGACCGGCAATTGTTCGCCAACAGCGAATGAATAAGAGAAACGGTTTCCGCGTCCATTGGGGTTAGTCCGGGGAGCAATCATTCGGTAGCGAAGCGCGTATCGAAGCTCTCCTTCCGGTTATGGAATGGGCGACTTCCGCTCGAGGATCGTCGAGCGTAAACGCGCTCGGCTCCGATGAAAATTGAATGATCGAACGATCCGCCCACTTCTCCTTTTCGCCGCCTGAACGCGGATTAGCTGGTTAGGAGACCGAACTCAGGACACTCCGCGATAAGGAACATTTCGAGCTTCTTTCTCTCCTCTCCTCTCTCTGCCTCCGGCGTAGTTTTCTTGGTAACGCGCAGCTGACGCGCGGTGCTATGGTCGGTTAAGCGAACGCCGGTGAATAAAACATCGACCGAAATACGCGGCGCGTGCTCGCGCTGCAACGGGAGAGGAAAAACGACGATTACCGTGGGGAACGGTCGTGGCATCGTCATCCCCTCGTGGAAGCTCCTAGGATGACCAGCACGTCGAGCAAGGACTTCACGTACGCGATGGGGCCGATGAAAATCCTCTCGTGGCCGGTGGGCACCTGGCCGCTCCAGAAATACGACTTCTTCTCGGGAATGCGCTGCGTCGTCTCTGTTGTGCTTCTGGTACCTGATGCGTGAGCTTTGACACGTCCACGTTGGAATGTAAAGAGTTCACTGCGAGGAATGTTCAGTTGCAACGTTCGATGTCTGTCGACGTGTTCACCGTTTGCACTCGAAAGCTTCTTAGACGTGTTTACAATTTTCTGGTGCGGCGTTGATCAACATTCCACGGAAACTTTTGTATCTTGCTTATGGACTGTACTGATTTCTTTAATAAGTTTTTAATAATATTCTGATATTGTTTGCTTTGTAATGTATATTGCTCTTGACCACGTGTCGCTTAAAAATATCTTCTTACAGAATTTCCACCATACGTGGCAAAGTGTTAAATCGTCGACTGGATGAGAATCGGATATTTCGTGTTGCAACCCAATAGATTCAAATCTGACTCGATCAAATGATCGCTGCCTCTCGAGTGCGAAGGGTTAACGAGTTAGCCACGGAACATCGAACATTCGATCTTGCAATTTTCAGTAAATCAACGTATCAACCCTTATCGGTCGTAAGTCATCTCTCAGACAACAGTTTCGTCAAAACTCGTAAAATAAGAACGCGACTGCCTTGTCAATCAATTAATCAACTGCAACCTCGCGATCGCGTGTAAAAAGCTAGCGTCCGATAAGGGTCGACCACTGAGCTACATTCCTAACGCAACATTGTGATCACCATCATTCTCCATCCGACAGTCTTCGCGTAGGATGACAGACTGACGCGCGTTGCAGTTGCTGACGTTGGTCGTGATAAACACGGAGCTCTACCTGGACAGCAGCGACTCCGAGAAGAACCTGGACGCCGTGGTGCTGGTGACCTGCAGCATCCTGTCGATTTGGAAGCTGGTGATGTTCCGGGTGCGCAGCGAGGGCCTAGTCGCGAACTTCACCTCCGCGGTCAGGGATTACAACGAGCACGAGGGCGACGAGAAGCGCGCGATCATGCGGCACCACGCGTACATGGGTCGCGTCGCGTGCGGCTGCGTGATCTTCTTCTCGTACTTCGGATCGACGGTGTTCACCGCCGCGCCGATGCTGGCCGACGAGGAAGAGGAAGAGGAGTTCCTCAACGCCACGCAGGACACCGTGATGGACTACCCCATGCCCTCCGAGGCCCTGCTGAACATGCTGGATCCGCCCGCAAGCCTGTATCCGCTGATCTACGTCGGGGAATACCTGCTGCTGCTGATGATAAGCACCGGGAACCTCGGTAAATGCTCGGGCGATGGTCAATCTATGGTGTGATCAGAAGTAACGCGCTAAACAGGAGAAAAGTGTTTCAACTTCTTGCTACCGCCTTTGTAGACGATGATTCTTTGGAATATTTCAATTATGGATCTTTTGCTGTTCGAGTAACTGAATCATTCGTTTGCGACTTCGTCGAACATTCCATCGAATGATCGTCTGCAAAGGGTTTGACGTTTGAGTCGGGTCTTTGCAAAAGCCCGGTCGGAAAGTGGCGATCGCGCTTCTTTCGTTTCAGACAATGACGCTTTTCTATACGAGAAGATTGTAAATGTTCCGTTTTCCGATAGAATGGCACTTTCAGTGCAACGCAGAAGCGCCATCGCTGGCTCTCAGACGGTTGAAAGGCCACACTGGTTCGTTGATTACCGGTTTTGTCAATCTGATCGTTTTATTTGCGAAATTCATGCGTCAGTTTTACTCGTTTCTTACGCGAGAATGTACAATATAGAGGTAATAAGTAGCCACTGTAGAGTCTTAGTAACTAGGAAACGAAGGAATTGCTTGAATTATGAAAGGCTGGCCCTTGATCTACATTTCCCAGTAGCGCCAGGTTTACAGGGGATGCTGTAAGGGAGACGTGCCTTTTCGTCAGGTAGCGACTCGTTGTTCTTCGGCATCATTTTCCACCTGTGCGGCCAGGCGGAGGTGTTGAAGCTGGACTTCAGCAAGTTCGTCGGGGACACCGTGGAGAGCACCTCGGCCCGTTTCAACGTGCTAGTCGCCAGGCACCAGCATCTGCTGCAACTGTCCCGGCATCTGAACAAGACCATCAGCCTCGTTATGGTTATGCAATTGTTCACGAGCTGCCTGCTTATCTGCACGACCGGTAACAACTTATGCTTTGGTTGGTGTAATAGGCCTCTCGCGTGTCTGCTAATTAGCCGGAAGCTAAAAGCACAGAGATACGAATAAGACATTGACATTCGTGTTCAATCTCTGTCGGGATGTTTCACACTATATTCTGTTTCATTGGCGTTGATCGTTAACACGTTGACCCATGTCAGTCATTAAAAACTACCGAGCAGTTACATCGATTCTTTGAAATTTCTCTGTAGAAACTCCATGTATTGAGACTCTGACTTACAATTTGCGTACTAAGTCAACTTTAATAATTTCTTACAGAAACATCTGTTACCTTTTTAATAATTGCAAAAGGAAATCAGGAATTTCGAATCGTCTGGTAGTTTTAGTATTAACGATCGACGATTCTGAATTTCTGGAAACAATTTGTGACGGCCATAATTCTAGATTTTGCATAATGAAAATGAAATTAATCCTATACACATTATTAGAAATTATAAACTAGTTTCTGGTTTACTAAGAAAACTGTTTCGATTGCACGGGAGTTTCGATGTTTACTTGCCAGTGTTAACCCTTTGCACTCGGATGTTTCTAAAAATATTTACCATTTCTTTACGAGGCGAAGACGATGTTTGAGACTAATTCTAGAAACTAAGTATATTGAGGAACAAAGCTATTATTCCAATGTTTCACGTATCGAGGCATTTCTAGATGAAATATTGGAATGCTAAGTTACAAACGGGTGATTCAATTACTCGAATAGCAAGTCAGTTTCCTTTTTTCAATTATCTAAGCAATCGATATATAAGGTTCATCTGCTAAATGTTTCCTGTACTTCAAGGGATCTTCGTCCGCAAAGTGTCAAATATCACATTCTATAGTTTCACTGTGTCAAATCAACCGAGAGTCACCTCTCGAGTGCAAAGGGTTAAACATCAAATTCGGCGCAGTCCTGGGAGGCTTATGCTCCACCTGTCTCCCTTGTCCCAGGTATCATTCTTTTCAGGATTCCAGTTCATACTATCCCTGAGCGAGGACAACATCGTGATGGTGGTGAAAACGTTCATAGTGGTGATCACCCTGCTGACGCAGCTGTTCGCGTACAGTTACATAGGCGAGTACATGAAGAACCAATTCGAGGACGTCGGGTACTGGACTTACTGCAGCGACTGGTACACCGTGCCGCGCAAGGTGTCGCTGAACACCGTCTTCGTCCTGATGAGGACCCAAGATCCCGTGCAACTGAAAGCTGCGGACTTCTTCGTCGTCAACATGGAGACGTACATGAGCATAGTGAAAACATCTGTGTCCTACCTGTCCGTCCTACGCGCGATGGTTAACTCGTGAACGCCCGTCAGCTTCGCTGGAGCAACGCCACGCGTGCTGGCCACGGAAACAGTGTGAGAAACAGACACAGTGCACGAAACTACGAACGCTTGCAACCAGGTCGATCGAGTGTCAGTAATTGAGCAATAGATCTATCCAACGTTCCTCGCAATTCCTTCGGGGAGTCTCTAGCATTAAAGAAGTACGACTTCTAACACAGTATTATTTACAGTGTCCCTTCAGTGGTTTTGCATTGCTTCCAATCACCAGATAACTGCATAAGACATCCTCGCGATGTTCGTTGACTTCCTGTAACTCGTCCAATCCTACCAACGTTTCTCATTTAACCAGTTAACTGTGGAATTTAGTTGGAAAAACCCGTTCTGCGAGCAATGAAACTGAAAAATGGAGCGTGTACTCGTCGAAGGACGAATGCAGGTAGAGTATATTTTAATGAAAGATCAAAGCGAAACGAAGAACTACATGTTTATGTGGAAAAATAAAGAATTCATCGCTGAAAGAATTAGCATCGTGACAAGTTTTATGGCGTCTATACTCGTCGAACACAGTTAACTGGTTAATATTATTGTAGCAACTAGTAGACTACAATTAACACTAGATTTGCGGACATTTATTGTAGTTTATTCTATTGTTGAAAAGTTGATGTTCGTTCGTTTAGATCTGGGAAATGAAATGCTTGAAAATCGACATACATTTATCAAATAATGCTTATAAAATTCAGTGAGTCAAATTGACTCGTTCCGTAAATCTACTGTTAACTTACCAGTCGACAATTTGTTTCCTCGAACATCAGAAGTGGTTATCCTAGCGAATGAATAAGCCACTGTCAAAATCAAAATTTTTATCATAAACCACCCAATTCGCAACGTACAATCTTAGTGACCCCGAATGCATCAGTTACAATCCATCTAAAAACGAACAGACGTAACTTCAAACATTAACCCCTTAGCCTATGATTTCTTTCTCAACTCTGATCGATACGGCTACATTGTCATTAATAATTTATTGGAAAAAGAGAAAAATTCTAAGCATATGTTATGCCTATATTTCCTTTTAAGTATAATGGTTGATTACAGAGGAATAATATTTACTTTGAACTCGAGTTAACTGAGTAATATATATATATATTTGTTGAATCACGTTGAAATTCTTCACCACGAGTCTCACTCGTTGTTGTAGGACAAGGGGTTAAAACAGTTACCTCAGTTTCCTCGGAAAACGAAATGGCCACCGGAATAAACGGCTCGCATAGAAAACCACAATCACAAAGCTACCCTGTCAAACGCTATGGTAACCTGTCCACTCTGTCGGCGACGTTCCGTGGCCAATAACATTGCAGCAACTAACGGACTCCGTCAAACCTACCAATTGACAACGTCGCCACCCTAACTGTAATACTTTGTTGAACAGCGGCGGTCACCCCAGCGAATGAATAAAGAACAAATTCGCAGGTCCGGTTTCTCTCGAAAATAGTCGCAATTCAAGCGCGCCGGACGTAGTACTTTGCGTCCTGCGCGGAGAAGGGAGAGCAACCCTTCGCACGCGAGAGGCGCTCTCGCGTATCCGGCGGAGCTCTATTAGTACAATTCATTTTCGATAAAACTTGAATGCTCCCGTTCACGACGCCGACGCGGGTAGATAAAAGCGGGACGCCGGCGGTCAGAAGCTTCACCCTCCCTCCGCCCCATAGGAATGTCGGCAACGCGCAGCTGACGCCGGAAGCTCGCGCGATTACGACTGCATAAAACATAAATCGTAACTGGCCGACGCGTTTAGTAATGCGCAAACACCGCCGGAAGAAAATGCGACGGCCGTCGGTGGAGGAAACGGTTCGGTCTCGTCCTGCGAGGATGAAGCTCCCGACGGACAAGGACTTCTCCTACGCGATGACTACGCTGAGGATCGTCTCGAGGCCCGTCGGCACGTGGCCCCTTCAGACGTACAACTTCTCGTCCGGCTTGCGGACCGCCATCGCTATTGTGCTTCTGGTGAGAATTCTCCTTTCGATTCTTAGTAATAGAACTATCTGGTGGGTGAGAACAGAAGGATAATTGCAAGGAGACTTGTACATTTCAATGAAGGTTTATAAAAGTCAACTCGACTGAATGGTAGTTCTAGTCTTCACTTGCGAAGTATTATCTCTAGCGAAAGAGTCTCTGGTTTACCATTGACTCATAGAATGGAGGTTATTGTGTTTCCTTGGGAACTTTCAAGAAATGGACACCTTATGTTTTCAATAATTGCAAGTATTCGGTGTATCTAGTGTTACACGTTGAAGTATGGAAACGAAAGGATAATTGCGAAGGGACTTGTAAATTTTAATGAAGATTAAATGATATGAGTCAAGAGTTATGAAAGTCAACTTAACTGCTCGGTAGTTCTAATATTCACGAGTGTCATCTGCAGTGTAGGAGTATTTGTCTGATTTTACTAAAGACTTACAGAAGGTTACTATATTCGTAGAATGCTTATGAGAGTCTTGGGGAATGAATAATACTGTTTTCCTTAAATTCCTCTACTCCGGATGATAGAACTATTAGACAGACAAATAAACTATTGTGAAATCCTGTACACAGGTGCTGATGATGCTGATCGTACAAGTAGAAGTCTATCTGGATTACGGGAACGCGGAGAAGACTTTGAACGCTCTGGTGATACTCGTTTGCGGTATCCTGGCAGTGCTAAAAGTGGGTTGCTTCCGGCTGTATCCCACAGGACTGATCGCCAACTTCGTCTCAGCGGTAGAAGACTACCAGGAGCTGAACGGAGAAGAAAGGCGAGCGATCGTGAAACGTCACGCCTACATGGGGCGCGTGTCGTCGGCCAGCGTGGTATTATTCTCGTACTTCAGCGCGTCGCTGTTCACGCTGGCGCCTATGTTCACCGGAAGCGACGCGGCGCAGGATACAAACTCAACGGTGGGGAAAGGACTAGACTATCCGATACCCAGCGAGTACACCCTGCAGCTTCTGCGAGCGCCGGGAAACCTGTTCGCGGTGATATACTTCGGGGAGTACTTCCTGCTGCTGGTGACGGCCATCGGAAACATCGGTACCGACTCATCTCGCGATCTTTTACTTGCACGTCTCACGATTTACACTCTGAGTTGAGCGGTGCATTGGCCAGGTAGTGACTCGTTGTTCTTCGGCATCATCTTCCACCTGTGCGGTCAAGTGGAGCTGTTGAAGCTGGACTTCAGCAGATTCCTCGAGGACGACGCGAACAGGACCGATCGTTTCAGCTCTCTGATCAAGAGGCATCATCACCTGTTGAAACTGTTCCAGTACCTAAACGACACTATCGGCTCGATCATGGTCATTCAACTATTCACGAGCTGCTTGTTGATCTGTACTAGCGGTGATCAGTTACATTTTTTACAAAGCACAAATTTGATGTGTTGATTACATAGCTAAAGGTACCTTTATTGGGCATGCCATGGTTTCAGGCTTCCAGTTCATTCTGTCCTTGAACGTCAACAACCTCGTGATGGTGGTGAAGACGTTCATAGTGATGTCCACATTGTTGAGTCAGATGTTCGCTTACAGCTACGTCGGCGAGTACTCGAAGAACCAGTTCGAAGGCATCGGACACTTCGCCTATTGCAGCAGCTGGTACAACGCACCCCCTAATATCACGAGGGACATCATGTACCTTCTGTTAAAGACCCAGTATTCTGTGCATTTGAAGGCCGGCAGGTTCTTCGTCATTAACATGGAGACGTACATGAGTATCCTGAGGACCTCGATGTCCTACCTATCGGTCCTACGCGTAATGGTTACCGCGTAAACGCCTGTGAACTTAGCTTGCCGCGCGACGTGCGCTGTTCGAGGAAAGACGGTGAGGAGGACAGAGCGTATGAAACTAGAAATGCTCGCAACCAAGTCGATTGCGTGTCAGTAATAGGCGAAATACTTGTTCAACGGTTTACGAAATTTGTTTCAGGAGTTTCCAGCAGTAAAGAAGTACGGTTTCTGTTTAATAGAGTATTATTTTCACCCTGACGCTACGGTAGCTCGCCCTATCCTTGACCGACATTTCACATTCAACAATATTGTAGCGACTAGCAGACTACATGAAACTTACCAGTCGACAGCGTTCCTGGAAGAACGCGACCACTCGCCTGACTGTAATACTTTGTCGAACCGCAGCAGTTACCCTAGCGAATAAATAAAGAAAAAGTCTGCAGATCCGTCTGTTTCTTTCGAAAATTGTCGCGCGCAATTTGAACGCGTCGGACGTTCCACTTTGCTGTCCGCTGGGAAGGGAGGGCATCCCTTCGCACGCGGGAAACGCTCTCGCGTATCCGGCGGAGCGCCATTAGTCTCGTCCATTTTCGATAAAACTTGAATGCTCCGCGCCGCGCGATACAGGTAGATAATAGAAGCGAGATGTCCGCGGTCAGAAACTTCACCCTTCCACCGGCCCATAAGAATGTTGGCAACGCGCAGCTGACGCCGGAAGCTCGCGCGATTACGGCTGCATAAAACATAAATCGTAACTGGCCGACGCGTCTAGTAATGCGCAAACACCGTCGGAAGAAAACGCGACAGCCGTCGGAGGAGGAAACGGTTCGGTCTCGCCCTGCGAGGATGAAGCTCCCGACGGACAAGGACTTCTCCTACGCGATGACTGCGCTGAGGATCGTCTCGAGGCCTGTGGGCACGTGGCCCCTTCAGACGTACAGCTTCTCGTCCGGCTTGCGGTCCGCCATCGTTATTGTGCTTCTGGTAAGAATTTTCCATTCGATTCTTAAGACTAAAACTACCGTACCAAATGACTACCGTCAAAATGACTGGTTTCGATTTGTCTGTTTCGCAATTATTGATATCTTAAAAGCATTGAATATTTGAAATGATTTTGAAAATAAATAGTTTCACTAGAGTACTATGATGAATATCCAAAGAAACTGAAAATAATATATTGTTACAATTTTCATAGGGATCACATATTAATCGTATTAAATTCTCGATAGTTCTAGTGTTAATAATGAAACTATCGAATGGGTGAGAGTGGAAGGATAATTGCAAGAGGATTTGTACATTTCAATGAAGGTTTTTGAAAGTCAACTTGACTGCTCGGTAGTTCTAGTATTCACGAGTGTCATCTGCAGTGAAAGTCTTTGTCTGATTTTACTAACGACTTATAGAGAAGGTTACAATATTCGTAGAATGCTTACGAGAGCCTTGGAGAATGAATAACACTGTTTTCTCTAAGTTTCTATGGGCTGAATCTGCCCCGGATGATAGAAATATTAGACAGACAAATAAACTACTGTGAAATTTATCTATAGAAATTCGGCAGAATCTACTGAGATCTCCATTCTTTTACAATACAGTTTGCGTATAGCTAAACCAACCCTCAGCAATTGTTTCGCGACTTCTAGAAAGGCATCTGAATGTCCTCAGTGCGTCATCACTCATTGCTAACACCTAGAGAATCCATTTCTCACTCAGAGATCAATGAAATCCTCTACACAGATGCTGACGATGCTGATCGTTCAAGTAGAAATCTATCTGGATTACGGGAACGCGGAGAAGACCTTGAACGGTCTGGTGATACTCGCTTGCAGTCTCCTGGCAGTGCTAAAAGTGGGTTGCTTCCGGCTGTACCCCACAGGACTGATCGCCAACTTCGTCTCAGCAGTGCAAGACTACCAGCAGCTGAACGGAGAAGAAAAGCGAGCAATCGTGAAACGTCACGCCTACATGGGGCGCATGTCGTCTGCCAGCATGATATTCTTCTCGTACTTCAGCGCGTCGCTGTTCACGCTAGCGCCTATGTTCACCGGAAACGACGCGGCGCAGGGTGCAAACTCGACGCTGGGGAAACGCCTGGACTATCCCGTACCCAGCGAGTACACCCTGCAGCTTCTGCGAGCGCCGGAAAACCTGTTCGCGGTGATATACTTCGGGGAGTACTTCCTGTTGCTGGTGACGGCCATCGGAAACCTCGGTACCGATTCATCTCGCGATCTTTTACTTGCGCGTCTCACGATTTACACTCTGAGCTGAGCGGTGCATTGGCCAGGTAGTGACTCGTTGTTCTTCGGCATCGTCTTCCACCTGTGCGGTCAAGTGGAGGTGTTGAAGCTGGACTTCAGCAGATTCCTCGACGACGAGGAGAACAGGACCGATCGTTTCAGCTCTCTGATCAAGAGGCATCATCACCTGTTGAAACTGTTCCAGTACCTAAACGACACTATCGGCTCGATCATGGTCATTCAACTATTCACGAGCTGCTTGTTGATCTGTACTAGCGGTGATCAGTTACATTTTTTAGAAAGCACAACTTTGATCTGTCGATTACTTAGCTAAAGGTACCTTTATTGGGCATGCCATGGTTTCAGGCTTCCAGTTCATTCTGTCTCTGAACGTCAACAACCTCGTGATGGTGATGAAGACGTTCATAGTGATGGCTACCTTGCTGGGGCAGCTGTTCGCCTACAGCCTCGTCGGCGAGTACTCGAAGAACCAATTCGAAGGCATCGGACAGCTCGCCTATTGCAGCAGCTGGTACAACGCGCCACCTAACCTGACGAGGGACATCATGTTCCTCCTGATGAAGACCCAGTACCCTGTGCATTTGAAGGCTGGCAGGTTCTTCGTCATTAACATGGAGACGTACACGAGTATCCTGAGGACTTCGATGTCCTACCTGTCGGTCCTCCGCGTAATGGTTACCGCGTAAACGCCTGTCAGCTCAGCTAGCACGCGACGTGCACTGGTCGGAGAAAGAGGGCGAGGAGACGGAGAGAGTCTACGAAACTACGAATGCTCGCAACCAAGTCGATTGAGTGTCAGTAACAGGCACATTCCTATTCAACGGTTTACGAAATTTGTTTCAGGAGTTTCCGGCAGTAAAGAAGTACGGTTTCTATTTAATACAGTATTATTTCCACTGTCCTTTTAGTGGTTCTCCATTGAAATAGTTCAAATCGAAACAATATCCCTAACGCTACGGTAGCTCGTCCAATCCTTGACCATCATTTCACATTCAACAATATTGTAGCGACTAACAGACTACACGAAACTTACCAGTCGACAGCGTTCCTGGAAGCACGCGACCACTCGCCTAACTGTAATACTCTGTCGAACCGCAGCAGTTACCCTATCGAATGAATAAAGAAAAAGTCTGCAGATCCGGCTGTTTCTTTCGAAAATTGTCGCGCGCAATTTGAAAGCGTCGGACGTTCCACTTTGCTGCCCGCGGGGAAGGGAGAGCATCCCTTCGCACGCGAGAAACACTCTCGCGTTTCCGGCGGAGCGCCATTAGTCCCGGCCATTTTCGATAAAACTTGAATGCTCCGCGCCGCGCGATACAGGTAGATAATAGAAGCGAGATGTCCGCGGTCAGAAACTTCACCCTTCCTCCACCCCATAAGAATGTTGACAACGCGCAGCTGACGCCGGAAGCTCGCGCGATTACGGCTGCATAAAACATAAGCAGAAACTGGCCTACGCGTCTAGTCGCGCGCGGACACCGCCAGAAGGAAATGCGACTATCGTCGGAGGAGGAAACGGTTCGGTTTCGTCCCTCGAGGATGAAGCTCCCGACGGACGAGGATTTCTCGTACGCGATGGATGCTCTGAGGATCGTCACGTGGTCCGTAGGCACGTGGCCCCTTCAAACTTACACCTTCTGGTCTGGTCTGCGGTTCGCCATCGCTATCCTGCTTCTGGTGAGACATTTTCTTTCGATTTTTTGCCTCGCGAACGATATATACGTACAGTGTGTTACTGACACGATCCTAGTCAGCCTGCGACTCAAAAGTAATGAGAGGCAAGAGGATTCGTCCACGTTCCATTTTAACACTTTCACACCGACGCTGCAATTTCCACTCTTTCCCATTTGGCGACTGAATTCGCAAAATTGATAGAAATAATGAAGTGATCAATAAGTAAATTAATTCTCAACTACATGGCAATGTTTTCTAATTAACAAATCATTCGACGAGCCACAGATTTGATGCTACACACCGTCTAATGAGCCATCAATGGTGCACACTGATAAAAATATGGCTGTCTTCAGCATTCGAGTCCCTTTTGTCTCAATAATACCATTGTTATACTGCTTTCAGAAGCAAAATGATTTGTGTTCATAACAATGTGTTTATTATTTTTCCATGAACGTATGTTTGTTATTTTTTATGTTGTCTTAACTTCTGGCTCTATCTTTATGACTGGTACAGTCACTTATAGTAGCAAAAACTAAAGACCAGAATAAGTGACTTCAATCTATCCAATATATCTCTTAACCCTTTGCATTCGAGAGGTGACACTCAGTCACCACTATGAAGTTGAATATTTACTATTCTAAATAAAACTTTCTATTACTATGTGAAACATATAAATAAAATAGCTTCGTTGCTTAATTCATTGTATCAGAATTATCTTCAAATTAGTTCCAATGTCATCTACATCCCGTCAGAAAATCTGGAGTATTTCCAGTGAGAAACCTTCGAGTGCAAAGGGTCAAAACGTTGAACAACCGAGTCCATTTTTCGCGGATATCGAACTCCCCACAGATGCTGGTAGTGCTGATCATTAACGTGGAGATCTTCCTGGACTTCGGAAACACAGAGAAGACCCTGAACGGTCTCTTGATACTTATCTGCGCTGTCCTGGGGGCGCTGAAGGTGGCCAGCTTCCGGCTGTATCCCACAGGACTGATCGCCAACTTCGTCTCAGCAGTGGAGGACTACCGGCAGCTGAACGAAGAGGAGAAACGAGCGATCGTCAGGCGTCACGCGTACATGGGGCGCATGTCGTCCGCCAGCGTGATACTATTCTCGTACTTCAGCGTGTCGCTGTACACGCTGGCGCCCATGCTCACCGGAAGCGACGCGGCGCAGGGTGCGAACTCGACGCTGGGGAAACGCCTGGACTACCCGATACCCAGCGAGTACACCCTGCAGCTTCTGCGAGCGCCGGGAAACCTGTTCGCGGTGATATACTTCGTGGAGTACTTCCTGTTGCTGGTGACGGCCGTCGGAAACCTCGGTACCGACTCATCTCGCGATCTTTTACTCGCGCGTCTCACGATTTACACTCTGAGTTGAGCGGTGCATTGGCCAGGTAGTGACTCGTTGTTCTTCGGCATCATCTTCCACCTGTGCGGTCAAGTGGAGCTGCTGAAGCTGGACTTCAGCAGGTTCCTCGAGGACGACGAGAACAGGACCGATCGTTTCGTCGCGCTGATCAAGAGGCATCATCACCTGCTGACGCTGGCCGAGTACCTGAACGACACCATCCATTGGATCATGGTCATCCAACTGTTCGGCAGCTGCATGCTGATCTGCACTAGCGGTGATATGTTACATTTCTCTGGAATGATGATCCTGATGTGATCGATGGTTTCGTTTAGATAATGGTTCCTTTATTCGAGATACCGTGGTTTCCAGAGTTCCAGTTCATCCTCTCTCTGAACGTCAGCAACGTCGTGATGGTGGTGAAGACGTTCATGGTGATGTTCACCCTGCTGGGACAGATGTTCGCTTACAGCCTCGTCGGCGAGTACTCGAAGAACCAGTTCGAAGGCATCGGACAGCTCGCCTATTGCAGCAGCTGGTACAACGCGCCGCCTAATCTGACGAGGGACATCATGTTCCTCCTGATGAAGACCCAGTATCCCGTGCATTTGAGGGCTGGCAGGTTCTTCGTCATTAACATGGAGACGTACTCGAGTATCCTGAGGACCTCGATGTCCTACCTGTCGGTCCTACGCCTGATGGTTAACGCGTAAACGCCTGTCAGCTCGGCTTGCACGCGACGCGCGCTGCGAGGAGAAAGAGGGTGAGGAGGCAGACTCAGTGTATGCAGCTACGAATGCTTGCAAGTTGATTGAGTGGCAGTAATAGGGAATAGACCTATTTCGGTTTCACGGAATTTGTTTCAGGAGTTTCGAGCGTAAAGTACGGGTTCTACGGAATGTTCCGTTTCTCTGTATGAAAATGTTTTATACAACCCCTCGAACAGCGGCAATCTTTGTTTTTGAATGCTAAGTATAATTTTTCTATTTTGAGGATATTTTTTTTGTGTTTCGATTGATTTTGATTAATTTGTGGGAGTGTTACTCTGGTTGAAATATTTCTTGTGAATTCGTGTGAGGCGTTAGACTTACTTTATGTTGATGTTTTTATTATTGTTTCTTTGTTTCTAATATTTTCGAAATTATTTTTTAATTTATCTTCACTTTCAGGTCCCAACATATTCTTGTATTAATTCGCACGGGGGTAATTTCTGTATAAGTAAAATTGAAACGGCGTGAGAATGTGTATTATAATGTATTATTATTAACGTATGTAGGTCAGTGCCTTTAATTACCTGCCTGAGGTGTCTTGAGGGAGAACACTTTCAAAGATATTGAAATTTAATTAGCATCTAACAGTCGCACCTCAATAATACATAATTACTGGTTACCTTGACTACCAAGTAAAGTGTTAAAAATAAAGCAATATACCTGTAACCTTAAAAAATTTTACTGCATAATACAATTCATATCAGTTTAAAACTTCTAAAATACCACTTTACTTTCAAAATCAAAATTTTCATCATACTAACCACCTAATTTTCAATATACACAATCTTAATGTCCTCAAACGCACCAGTTACAATTTCCATGAAAACAAACAAGCAACATATAACTACAACCATTAAAACAGTTACCTCACTTTCCTCGGAAAACGAAATGGCCACCAGAATAAACGGCTCGCACAGAAAACCACAATCAGAAAACTACCCTGTGAAACGCTACGCAACCTGTCCACTCCGTCGCCGACGTTCCATGCCCAACAACATTGCAGCAACTAACAGACCCCGTCTAACCCACCAATTGACAACGTCACCGCTCTAACTATAATACTTCGTTGAACAGCAGCAGTTACCCCAGCGAATGAATAAATGAGAAGTCCGCAGGTCCGGTTTCTCTCGAAAATAGTCGCAATTCAAGCGCGTCGGGCATTGCACTTCGCTCCCCACGGAGAAGGGAGAGCATCCCTTCGCACGCGAGAAACCGGAGTTTCCGGCGGAGCGCCATTAGTCCCGTCCATTTTCGATAAAACTTGAATGCTCGCGTTCACGGAGCGCCGCGCCGCGCGACACGGCTAGATAATAGGAGCGAGATGTCCGCGGTCAGAAACTTCACCCTTCCTCCGCCCCATAAGAATGTTGGCAACGCGCAGCTGACGCCGGAAGCTCGCGCGATTACGGCTGCATAAAACATAAACAGAAACTGGCCGACGCGTCTAGTCGCGCGCAGACACCGCTCGAAGGAAATGCGACTATCGTCGTCGGAGGAAACCGTTCGGCTTCGTCCCTCGAAGATGAAGCTCCCGACGGACGAGGATTTCTCGTACGCGATGGACGCTCTGAGGATCATCTCGAGGCCGGTCGGCACGTGGCCCCTTCAGACGTACAACTTCTGGTCCGGCCTGCGGTCCGCCATCGTCATCGTGCTTATAGTGAGGAATTTTCTTTCTACTCTTAACACACTGAACCACGGCTAAATTTCAGCTACTCGAAACGCGAGCGTCGGTGATTATATTGATAAATTTTTAACCCTTTTCACTCGACAATATTTTTCATGAAAAATATTCGTTACCTTCTGACTAAACATTAACGATATTTTTCGCAACTAATTATCTGATATAGATCAAGAGACAGAACTATTTTACTTCGATGTTTTACGTGTTGATACATTACGCAAGGTTTAACCCTCTGCGGATGAAGATTCTACGAAACATACAAAACCTTGAACATATGAAGCTAAATTATATATCAGTTGCTTAAGTAATAGAAAGGAAACTACGTGCTGATCTTTTACTGTTCGACTAATTAGATCATTCTTCCACGACTTAGTCTTCCAAATCTGAACATTTCATCTCACCGAAATGCCGAAATCGAATAATTTTAGGGTAGTTTCTTTAAGTTTCACTGAAATATCTAGTATCATTCCTGGTACAATGGGGCCTAGAGTTCAAACTGTCGAACATTGAGCCACACCTACCCAGTCCACGTATGACCCGGAGATCAGCGGAATCGTCTGCGCAGATGCTGATGATGCTAGTCATCCACGTGGAGATCTACCTAGACAACGGCAACGCGGAGAAGACGCTGGAGGCTCTGCTGATAACCGCTTGCGGTATCCTGGGGGTGCTGAAGGTGGCTTCCTTCCGGCTGTATCCCAGAGGACTGATCGCCAACTTCGTCTCAGCGGTGGAAGACTACCGCCAGCTGAACGGAGAGGAGAAACGAGCGATCGTCAGGCATCACGCCTACATGGGCCGCATTCTCTCCGGCAGCATGATATTCGTGTCCTACCTCAGCGCGACGCTGTTCATCGTAGTGCCGATGTTCGCCGGGGACGACGCGGCGCAGGGTGCGAACGCGACGCGAGGGGAGCTGCTGGACTACCCGTTCCCCAGCGAGTGCACCCTGCAGCTCCTGGGGACGCCTGAATACCTGCGCGCGATCATCTACTTCGGCGAGTACTTCATGCTGCTGGTGACAGTCAACGGAAACATCGGTACCGATCCATCTCACGATTCTCTATTCGCACGTCCGGCAATCTAGACTCTGAGTTGACTGCCAGGTAGTGACTTGTTGTTCATCGGCATCATCTTCCACCTGTGCGGGCAAGTGGAGGTGTTGAAAGTCGACTTCAGCAACTTCCTCGACGACGACAGTGACGGGACCGACCGTTTCACCGCGCTGATCAAGAGGCATCATCATCTGCTCACGCTGGCCGAGTACCTGAACGACACCATCGGCTTGATCATGGTCATCCAGCTGTTCACCAGCTGCCTGCTCATCTGCGTTAGCGGTGATAAGTTACATTTCTTTGGAACGAGGATCTTGGTGTCCATCGATGGTTTCGTTCAGATGGAGGTACCTTCATTCGACGCGTCGTGGTTTTCAGGGTTCCAGTTCATCCTGTCTCTGAGCGTCAACAACGTCGTGATGGTGGTGAAGTCGTTCATGGTGATGACCACGCTGCTGGGACAGATGTTCGCTTACAGCTACGTCGGCGAGTACTCGAAGAACCAGTTCGAGAGCATCGGCCACTACGTCTGCCGCAGCAACTGGTACAACGCGCCGCCGAAACTGTCGAAGCACATCATGTTCCTGCTGATGAAGACGCAGTGTCCTGTCCATTTGAAGGCCGGCAGGTTCTTCGTGATCAACATCGAGACGTACACGAGCATCCTGAAGAGCTCGATGTCCTACCTGTCCGTGCTCCGCGTGATGGTGACAACGTAAAGTCACTCGTCGCGGACGTTTTGCAGACCGAAGTGACGTCACGGTCACTCGGTCGAAGGAACTTGCTGACTGAACGAAATCGTGGACTGTGAACGAATGTTCGAAGTGCAATGGGTTTTTCTATGAAGACGATTATTATAATTTACACGGACGCGACGGTACAGTTGCGATTGTACGGTATAGTCGTGTCCAATGAAACATACGTTACAAGGTAATGTTACATTATGTATTGGATATTACAAATACACTGAATGTTTATACTATTAATAATCGCATCATTCAGACGATTCCTCCATGCACGGAATTTTGAAATATATTTACGGATTACTCGGGTTAATCGTTAGTGCATATAATTTTGTCCAAATAAATGTTACATTGAATATATTCATACAATGATATAATTTATAGTGTCATAATAATAAATTAATAGATCAGAACGAGGAGAGCCACTTCAACGACTACGCGTTGATGGTTGCAGTTCGTGAGGGAAGAGTATCAATGAAGACAAGGATTAACAATCACTTGACAATGATTTCGAATCATTAGTACCATCGTTAAATATTGTAGCATAATGATCTGTGTTTTCTAAGCTTTAATTAGACCCCTAGAACGTGTGCAGAGCATAAGGGGTAGCATCAATGAGTAAGACAAGGATGGAGAATTTTCCTAGCGAGCGACAGCAGCGCCATCTAGCGGCGGGAAGTTAGCCGAGTTTCTCCCTATACCCGCAATGTGTAAGACAAGGACAGATATAGTGTGCGACAAGGACAGAGATAGTCTAGCCTGTGCCACCTCCTTGGAAAAAGCATCTCATCAGTCCCTGGTACCTACTCGTGAAGCATCAGGGCGAAGGAGGTCTTCGAAGTGGCGCCATCTGGCGGTGACGGGTATGAACTACCGTGCGTCGTTTTGGCGGGAAGCAACAAGGAAATCAGCAGAGATTTAATTAATAACACACCTCGTGGGAATAATTCGTTGACATTTGCAGTTTAGAATCATAGAATGGACTCTGGCAGATATTCCTGAATTGGTTTCGGTAGGATTTTCTACCGCGATACGGATTTATTAATTATTTTTCGTGACGGTGCGGCAATGTCGGCTGGAATTTGTTGACAGGGGCAGAGTAAATTATTAAGTTTCTTAGTTAATAGGGATAATTGGTGAATCTTTGCGGTTGAAGAAATTATAATGGACCCTTGGGAACATTCTAGTGTTCACGTTAATCATATTTGAATTGTAATTAATGAGTTATTAGTGATTTTCGGATGGTTGCGAGAACTGCGTAAAAATTGGTGGCGCCATCTGTTGCAAGAACGTGGAAACTGTTTGCCAAATAGTACATGATATATTTTGCTAGATTGCGCCACCAGTCTTCGTCTATTATAGAGAAGGACAGATGTATAAGAGCAAGAAGGATAGAGATAGTATTTTCGGCCCGCCATCTTGCGACGAGGATCATGTACTATTTAATCAGATGTTTCAGTATTCTTGCAAAAGATGGCGCCACCAATTCTTACGCAACGTAATCCTCCTATCCAAAAATCACTAATAACTCATTAATTACAACTCAAATGTGATCACCGTGATTACCAAAGCGTTCCTTAGACTCCATTATAATTTCTCCAATCGCAAACATCCACCAAATATCTCTATTAACTGAGAAACTTAATAATTTACTCTGCCTCTGTCAACAAATTCCAGCCGACCATACCGCACCGTCCCGAAAAATAATTAATTAATCATTACCGCGGTACAAAATCCTACCAAAACCAATTCAGGAACGTCTAGCAGAGTCCATTCTATGATTCAGAATCGCAAATGTCAACGAATTATTCCCACGAGGTGTGTTATTAATTAATTCTCTGCTGATTTCCTTGTTGCTTCCCGCCAAAACGACGCACGGTAGTTCATACCCGTCACCGCCAGATGGCGCCACTTAAAAGACCTCCTTCGCCCTGATGCTTCACGAGTAGGTACCAGGGACTGATGAGATGCTTTTTCCAAGGAGGTGGCACAGGCTAGACTATCTCTGTCCTTGTCGCACACTATCTCTGTCCTTGTCTTACACATTGCGGGTATAGGGAGAAACTCGGCTAGCTTCTCGCCGCTAGATGGCGCTGCTGTCGCTCGCTAGGAAAATTCTCCATCCTTGTCTTACTCATTGATGCCGCCCCTTACGCGCTGGAGACGTTCTTGGGCTCTAATTAAAGCTTAGAAAACACAGATCATGATGCTACAATAGTCATCAATGATACTGCTAATGATTCGAAATCATTATCAAATGATTGTCAATTTAAACATAATCGAACGTTATGAACTTTTTCAATATCAAGTAAATTTCCGCTGCATGTTGATCCATTAAAGCTGTATCAGTTTTAATTACTTTTCGTTCAATTAACAGTTAATATCTTAGAATTCTGTGCGAGCAGATTTCCTTTGTAATGATTTTTTTCTGAATTTTCCGTTTCTCCAGTGTCAATACAGCGGCGTTTACGCAGACACGCCACCTGCAAGTATTGATTGCACCTGTTACGCCCGTCCTAATTAATCGTAATTCATTCTTGTCCGTCTCGTCCGCCTATGCCTTGCTATTTACGTATTGTTTTTAATGAATCTCAACAATATCATGATATTTTGTCGTTATCTTCGAAAGTGCTTGTCGATTCTCTCTTCCATCGACTGTCTGATTCCGCGCGTCCCATTCTACTGCGCCTATTACCGTGCAACAAGCGATATCGTTTATATGCATCGTGCAACAAGTCCTTAACCGTAAAGCGGCTGTCGATTGCGCACGTTTCGTCGCGAATTTCACCCGACGAGAAAGGTTCATTACGTTATGCATCGTATCAGTCATATTTATTCGAAGACGCTCCCGAGTGCTTTTAATTATGCCACGCTTGGGAATTCGCGGAACGAGGGGCATCTATTTCATGGCGCGGGAATGTTTCTTTCTTATCAGATATCATTGCGCCGTCATCGTTTATAAATAAATGTAGGTACAATTGTGAATCATGTGTGATAATGATAGGTGCTTGTTGTTATTACAATGAAATATAACAATATAGAATTATTAAGATAAAAATGCAACAGAAATTCGAATTGCAAAGGGTGCTCACATGATCCCCTACGAGTAATATCCTACAAATTGCTAATCCCCGACAAGTCCATTATCAACTGGTTTGAATATTTAATGCGGGGTTGCTAAGTGCAAGCGTCAACAGTAATCGCAGTTAACCCTTTGCCCATAGGCCCCTCTCAGTCGCCACTCGATTTGGCGCAGAAAAATTATGGAGTATAATATTTAATGCTAACTTTCGCGAACTATCCTAGAACTACCGAACAGTCAAATTGACTTTCCGAAATTTTTCTATAGAAACTCCGTCGGTGGTACTATTGAAATTTCTATTGATTTACAATTCAGTTTGCCTATTGCTAAATCAATTTCTCTTCAGCGCTCAAACTTTTAAAGGAAACCGACAATGTCAGTTTATTACGTTTCTATAACTCAGCGTCTTGACATTCGAGTTTCACTGTGTGCACAACTGTTGACAGTTGAATATAGGTTCAACTGTCTATAACCGAGTCCTTACTCCCGAGGTAAATGGGGTGGATATAAGTGGCGAACGTATAAACCGCTGGGCTCGTGTGACACATCGTTGAGTCATACCACTTGGTGGTAGAAAAGTTCAACCCAAGACCCTTCCGACTGAACTTCGAAACGGGGTCAAGGATACCTCCGGAAGTCGATCTCGCTGGTGCGCGGGCTATTTTCGAAAGAAACGTTTCCGGCACCCATTGATACCATTACGACCGTCCGAGAATTCTATTATGGTGCCTAAAGGAGCTCCCGGTTCGCCGTCTGTTTCGCATCACGTCGTTAATTATCGGCACTACTCGATGAACATTGAAATTAGACGAATATCGATATCAGACTTTCAGTTTTAACCCTTAGCACTCTAAGGGAAAATTAGAAATGCTATAACATTTCTTCGATCTTTTATTTTCGTTCTTGGTACAAAATTTGGATGTGTTGAGAATCGAATAATTTTAGGGTAGTTTCTTTAAGATTCATTAAGATATTTAATATTATAACTGGTGCAATATTGGAGCCTACAGAGTTCAAAGGGTTAAAATCGTGCCCGGAAATGCAGTTTTTCTCTAATTGTTTGTTTTGACTTGTTCGGGTCATGAAAAATCGTACATAAAATAATTTATATGTTATTTAGACTGTCACGTCATTATTGTGCAATGTATTACTGAAGAATAAACAAATGGATGCGTGCTAATAGTATTTCTTTTTCAGGACAGCTATTGCTGTAATTCGCCTACGCATCGCCAAAAATTAGACGTTGACTTCGATGGTTACATAGAATTTCGGAATTAGTGTCATTTGTGGACGTAACGTTCATTCAACTAACCGAATTGAAAATTCTGTGCTTTCTTTTGTTCATTTAACACGTTAAGCGCCACGAAAGTCTTGACCATCTTATTATAATCCATTTCGCGTGTTACGGTCTCCAAGTAATCCAGAATCAGTCATCAATCACTAACATCGCGTTTATTGTGTAAATAATAGAAATTTCAAATAATCGTCGTTCAATTAATTAAACTATAGTAATCACCGGTGACCCCATGGCATTCGACGTGTTAAACATTCTCATTGTCCATCCGTCATTTCGCATGTTACGGTTTCCAACTAATCAAGAAACGTCAGTCATCAATGACTAACATAGCATTTATCATGTAAATAATAGAAATTTCAAATAATCGTCGTTCAATTAATTAAACTATAGTAATCACCGGTGACCCCCATGGTATTCAAAGTGCTAAACATTCTCATTGTCCATCATTCATTTCGCACGTTACGATTTCCAACTCATCAGGAATCATTCATCAACGACTAACATCTAGTTTATCGTCTAAATAAATCAAATCAAAAACAGTCGAGTGAAAAATAATGATTTTCCAGCGTGGGCGAAGAAAGTAGGTGATAGCTAGGACTGAGTCGAAGGTGTTGCCAGCGAAGGTGGGGATGATGGCGGCGTCGGTGGCGGAGGAAGCTCAGTTTCGTTCACAGTCTCATCCGGGCTGGAACCCCAGTGCCCGCCGCGTCCTGAGATTCGCTTGAAAATCGTGTCTGGTGCGACAAACCCCGGAGAATCGATACCAGCCGCGTGGAACCATCGCGAGGCTGACGAATTGACCACGTTCAAACCAATCGACTGACAGGTGAACAATATTAGAAAAGTCATTTACGATCGCTCGGGATATAATTAATGGCCGCGACGATTCTGTAACGCAATCCGAGAGAATTCAATCGGCCGACGTAGGCGGAATTACGAAAAGTTTCGTAACGATATGCTGATGCGTTTTCATTCGACGTAACTGGTCGACAGTGGGACATTGTTTGGATAATTAATTGGTTCGACGAACGTGTTTCTTTATTAGCTGGGTTAACGGACGCTTGAGAGTTTATTCATTGTAGAATTAATATTCGCGTGTGGGTCTTTGGAAAAGGATTTTAACCCTTTGCACTCGAAAAATTTGTTGCTAGAAATATTTATTTTTATGAGATATAGATGACATGTTTTAAAACTAGCTTAAGGAGGAATCTATTCAAAATAAGAACAATGGTATTTTATTTTCATATTTCTCTAATATTTCTTTAATGATAGGTTAGAGAACCTATTAAAGGAAGAATTGAAAATTAATCGAGTTACTTAAGATTATTCTTTATGATTGATTTTTATTAATCGTTCGCGAGCAGTGGAAATTTTAATGAGCAGCAAAGGTAGGAAGAATTGAAAATTAATCGAGTCATTTAGGATTTATTCTTTATGATTGATTTTTATTAATCGTTCGCGAGCAGTAGAAATTTTAATGACCAGCAAAGATAGAAAGAATTGAAAATTAATCGAGTCATTTAGGATTTATTCTTTATGATTGATTTTTATTAATCGTTCGCTAGCAGTAGAAATTTTAATGAGCAGCGAAGATAGGAAAAATGTAAATGTACTCCGAGGGTTAAAGTGCAAAATAATTTCGAAAGATTAAAGCTATATATATGGTGTTAAAAATAGATTAGAGAACCTATTGAAAGAAGAATTGAAAATCAATCGAGTCACTTAAGATTATTCTCTATGATTGATTTTGATCAAAACTTACCATTTCCATTAGACAATTAGTAAACCTAAACACTCAGATATTCTGTTGAACTACATTTCTATTTCCATTGAATTAGAACTGCTGAGTTGCATAATGATTTACATCTCAGATGTGTACAATAATTATTCGCTCATATTGGCCTTAGAAAATGGCTCTAAAAATAGTCTATAAAACCTATAGTTAAACAATTGAAAATTAATCAAGTCACCTAAGTTTATTCTCTATGATTCTGATTAAAACCTGCCACTTATTAGACAACTAAACCCAAATATCAAACACTCTATTCAACTACATTTCTGTTTCCATTAAACACAACCTGCCGAGTTACTTATGAAATCGCGCAACGATATATTACACGAACAGCGTCGCCAATAATCATAATTCACGAGAGTGTCCATAAATCATAACAGAAATCGCCGTCGCAATCTCCCAAGGTAAACGGTGTCAAAAGTCCAGATTTCGTTTCGATACCGCCGGTTATCTGTTGTCGAGGCGTGTCCGCGCTACCTGCGCATCGGAGCCGACGTTGTCAGCGCAACGTCGTTACCGTCATCGCAGTTTTCATTCATTCCCGCGGCCTGGGAGACACACGCTTCGTGACGGGACTCGTCTATTTCGATGCGCGTCGTAACGCCGTTGACGTAATATCCAAATAAAACTGTACTGAACCGACGATAACGAGTGTCGCGAGTTTCCAGCGGCGCTCGCACGCCAGTAGAAAGCCGGCCGCAGCGAGTCTTGTGATAACGATAATAGACGTTCCCTCGGATACCGGTCTCGCGTGCCTAATTCGCGATCACGACCGGCTCGCGTGCGATTTTTCTGTAACAATAACAGCCACTCTGATTATCGAGTAAATCGAGATCGAGAGGCGTCTAAACAATCTCTTCTCGAATCCGTTGCATCGTGATTAGTCTGTTCATAGTTTAATTAATAACAGTGTTAACGATAATAACTTCATAACTGCTCTCGAAATTCCGTTCACCGATCGGCCATTAAACGAGCTTTATCTCGCGGAGATAAACACTTTGTAGAACACTTGCTTTCGAGAGATAAAAGGAATGTCACAGAATACAATTATCTTCGCAAATTTAGAAATCGAAACTTTATAATATTCCTATTGATTTTAGTTTCTAATAACCGAATTTCGAGTTTCAATATTCTTATTCCTCTTTTATTAAACTATAAAAAATATATTTAGTATTTACTTATAACTATAAACATATATTCATAACATAAATATACTGAAAATGTATTTCTATTAAACTCTCCTGATTACCTTGAATATTATTATCCTATCGATTCCAGTTTCTAATAATCAAATTTCAAATCTCAATATTCCTATTCCCCCTTTATTAAACTATAAAAAATGTATTCAGTATTTATTTATAACTATAAACATATATTCATAACATAAATATACTGAAAATGTATTTCTATTCAACTCTCCCGATTACCTTGAATATTATTATCAACAATTTTCATATTTCTAAGCGTCAGGTTGATTACTACATCAAGGAAGCTCTCATTAAACTTTTAATTAAACATTCTTCCTAGTCGCATGATATCAAAGGTCCTCGCAATGGCGACTTTATTTTAATCGGTCGGTCGATGACGGGTCGGTCAATTATTTATTATTATTTATTATTATTTATTTATAACTATAAATATATTTATATTAAACTCTCCTGATTGCCTTGAACATTACCATCAACAATGTGCATATTTCTAAGCGTCATGTAGATCACTACATCAAGGAAGCTCTCATTAGACTTTTAATTAAACGCTGTTCCTAGACGCACGATATCAAAGGTCCGCGTAATGGCGACTTTATTTTAATCGGTCGGTCGATGACGGGGCGAGCCGGTAGTTGCGAGTGGACCCCCTATCGCTCTCATTTCGGCTGCAGCGAGGGGTGAAACGCGGCTCTGAAGATATATTGAGAGAGGGTGACTGCGTGCTCCCCGAGCGAGCGGGATCGATAGAACACATGCGCCCTGCGGCACAGATTCCGTCTCGAAACGAGCGTTCAACAGCTTTCCGAGAGTTGTACACAAACCCTGCCAGTCTCCTCTCGCCGCTGACAAATTCCGCTCGACCGTTCGAGACTATCGACATCGATCATCCCAAGAAATCCTAATCCGCCGATTCCACATCGAGTTATCCTCGATTCGAAGCTGTTTGCTCGTTCAAATTGGAACTTCCAGTTCGGTGAGTCGAAAGCGACATTCGAGTTTTAACCCGTTCACTGCCAGTCACGAATATACTCGTACCAAGAGATTGCCAGTTTGGTAGAATCTTCGTTGTATTTGAAATTTATAGTAATATAAAGCGAAATAAATTGAAAGTACTAATGAAATCACATATTTTATGCTAGCTGTGAATGGGTTACAAGATTTGTCATTGTTAGAAAAGAATAAGGAATATTGTATAGAATGCTTAAAATTCTCATGGCAGTGAACGTGTTAACTATCTGTAGGCCCATGTACGATTTCTCGTTAAGTCAGTTTGAAATGTCGTTGGTGTTTCATTAAAAAATGTTGAGTATTTCTAACGAGAAACTTCTGGAGTGCAAAGGGTTAAAAAAAACTTGAATATAACTTAACCCTCTGTAGGCCCGTGTAATTTTAAAGTCACGTATCAGTATATTGGCATCTTGTTGATTTAGTTCATTTTGCACTCGAAGTGGTGAATAAAATTAAGTAAAAGTTAACTTTAACTTATATATCAGTTCGTTTCAAACGAAACTCAGTCGATTTTATGTTTCGACGAGGTAATGTGCAATCAATCGAGTATTTCCATTGGATTAAATGCAAAATTGAAAATTATGTTCGATGTTTAATATTAATGTTTTTATAATAGATCGATATATGGAGTATTGTAATTTCGTTGCTTAATTTACGTGATTCTTGTTGAAGTTTTGTATATTGTCTGTATTAGAAAGTGTGAAATGTTTGTAAAGCTCTCAAGGATAGAAGATTATTCGTTGAGTAGATTGTTTGTGAATATTGACGATAATCCTTTCGTTAGGTAATGGAAAAATTGAAGGTCCGTGTTAAATGGAATTTCGTAAGACGCCGAGACTGCGGTGTTTGCTTCGACAGACGTTTGTAGAGTTTGAAATCGATCTCTCGACGCGTGTAACGTCGAATGTAAACTTAGTACGATGGGAATCGGTATTTCTAGTTTGTATTTCGTTCGGTTAGGGATTTTATTCTATGACAGTGAAGGTTTTTTCTTCGTGTAACTCGCGAGACTCTTATTCACTTGATTTCATATAGTAAAACTGAAAAATTTGATATTTCATATTATACTTTGCACAGTGCATCAATTTGAGAAATACCGAAATAAAATAGCTTTGTTCCTCAATGTACGTGTGATTTCTCTTCGAGTTAGTTCCAAAAAATATCGTCTTTATCTCATCACAAAATGTTCAAATATTTCTATTGAATAAGCTCCAGAGTGCAAAATTAAATTTTATATAATGTACGAACACATGGAACATCGAAATAAAATAATTCTGTAACTTAATTTATTTAAGGTATTTCTTTATGTTCATTGCAAAAAATATCATTGACATTTCATCAGAAAGTAATGAATATTTTTTGAGAAAAATATTCTGCAAAGGGTTAATAAAGAGAATTCTCATCGCGGGACACCGTACAACGAATTGCTCTGCAGTTGCTAGGCGCTCAGACAAGCTGCAAAATTCTCGATTCTGTGGTCGGAGTGTACAGTGTAGGAGAAAGAGAATTTCATTTGAAGCAGTATAATTATTTCATGACAACACACACTAAAACAATCAATCTAATCAACGCACACACTATTTATACACTCAGAAGAAAAGACTTCTTTAACTAAGAATTATATTACTACTTTAAAATCTACTTAAATTATTAATATTAATGAAGGTGATTACTTAAATTAATCACACGTAATTAGATCCATAAAATCTACTTCAGAGTAGATCTAACTATCTTAATCACCTCTCCCTATTTAACTTTTGATCTAGAATTATATGTAAACTCGTTAACAATCGCTGTGACGAACCGAATAAAGAGATTCACGTTATTATATATTTTCATTAATCATCTCTCGCGGTAGCGCGTGAAATTTACTATTTATCAGAGAGCTGACAGCTAACGCTAACCAGATTTACCTCGAAAGAAAACGAGGATTTGAAAAATCGGGTTCAGCGTCGCGGAAAACCGCGCGTACCTCAAGCTGAGGTTCTCAGAGCGTGCATTAAGGCGCGTCGACACCTGATCGGTATTACTTAATACGGCCCCCCGCTTCCTGTTCCCTGTTAATTGCGCTAACTCGCGGTCGCCGTAATCTCTATTTATAGTCATGAAATAACGTAGCTCGTCTCTAGCCTATACAACGCGGTCTGCGGCACTTAAATCGAGCCATCGAAAGTTAATGGTACAAAGTCGAACTTCGAAGTGTCCTAGAAAACGGTGGTCATCTTCAGGTACTTTCCTTTCTATATTTTTCTTCCATACACTCAGCATAAGAATAGAAACGACAATTATTAATTATTCTCCCAAAGGAAATTCATTATGATATATTAATTTACTGTTAATATGATTAATCATGAATAATCAATGCTCATCTTCAGGTACTTCCTTTTGTACATTCTTCTTCTATACACTCATCATAAGAATAGAAACGACAATTATTAATTATTCTCCTAAAGAGAATTCATCGTGAAATATTAATTTACTGTTAATATGATTAATTATGAAACATTCGTCATCAATTGACGCATTTTCTATTGTACCAGAGAAGAATGGCCATTTTTAGGTACTTTCTTTTGTACATTCTTCTTCCATACATTTATCACAAGAATAGAAACGACAAATGTTAATTATTCTCCTAAAGGGAATTCATCGTGATACATTAATTTACTGTTAATATGATTAATTATGAAACACTCGTCATCAATTGACGCATTTTCTATTGTACCAGAGAACAATGGTCATTTTTAGGTACTTTCACATAGAACGAGAGGGTTTTCAAACTAAATTCCACAGTTAACAGGTTAAGATATGTCATTTCCTATCGGTGATTTTTAATGGTGTACCTATGAAAGAATTCCAAAATAGGAGCTGCCCTGATAGATCGAGTTGGACAACTTTTGAAGTGCATCTCGCTTGGCTGCGCGAGTTTCCGCGGAACGTTAACGTCGTCGCCTGTAAGATAACACCTGCAGTCCCAGCCGCGAATCAGATTGGAGGCTGCTCTTTCAAAGATATCGTGTTCATCAGCGTGAAATAGTGTTTCGTCCTTGTCCGAGCGAGAAAGAACTCGATCGGAGTGATTAGATTGATCGTGGCAGTCGACGTCGATGGGTGAATCGCGGGAAATGACGGTTATAATCATTAGGGACGTGGACGTGATCTACTATCGATCCTTTAGACTGTTAGAATAGAAGTAAGCTAGCGTTTGTCTACTTTTATTTCTTTGTTAAAATCTCGTTACAACAGTAAACAGTGATATTATTGCTAAATATACTATTAAATTTATAGAATAATGAAAAAATATCATCTGTTTTCGTCAAAAAAGTTTCTAATTACGAAGAATATTTTATTAGAACGTAATGATATAAACTACTTACCTTGATTAGACTTGTCTACTTTTATTTCAATGTTAAAATCTCGTTACAACAGTAAACAGTGATATTATTACTAAATAGACTATTAAATTCATAGAATAATGAAAAAATATTATCTGCTTTCGTCAAAAAAGTTTCAACAAAGGTTTCCAATTACGAAGAATATTTTATTAGAACGTAATGATATAAACTACTTACCTTGATTAAACTTGTCTACTTTTATTTCAGTGTTAAAATCTCATTACAACAGTAAAGAGTGATATTATTACTAAATATACTATTAAATTCATAGAATAATGAGAAAATATCAAAGACTTACCGTTGTAAAAAAAGTTTCAACAAAGGTTTCCAATTACGAAGAATATTTTACTATTAGAACATAATGATATAAACTACTTACCTTGATTAGACTCGTCTATCTTTTCAATGCAATGATAAAAGGTAATATAATGCACCACGATAAGAAATGATTCAACGAAGAAGTGTATGGAAATAAAATGATGATTACGATTCTCAGTCGGTCGGCTAATAATCAAAATGCACGTTCCATTTTCCGATGTTTGCTCCTTTATCTATAACGAAGCGCTGCAAGCGATTCTCTGATAAGATTATTCCGGGCAGCAAAGAGTGAAGTAGCGCTATCGGAGGAGTGGCACGTTTTGTATTAATTAATGAAATTAGGTGTACACAGGCTCGCGACGAAATGTTTGCATAATTCAGCGAACGATCAGAAGAGAGCATCGGCGAGGCTCGTTCGCTCATTAAAGCTTTATCGTGAATTTCACGCGGGGAGCGCCCACGAGAATTATGTTAAATCGATGGCTCGCGTTACTTGACCCCAAAACGTCATCTAGGTGTCAAACGCTAATAGCGCGAACGCCGTTCCCACACGATTCACACTGTAACGAATCATCCGTTAAACTTGACCGTGACACGCGATATTCTGCCGAGCTGCGTGCACTGACCATCTTAAAAAACGTCCGAATGTTTACGAAATCTATTTAGAATATCGTTAGAATCTTGCCGATCGATGAAGTTGATTCAGATTGATGGGAAAATAGAAAGTTGCAGGGGAATTTTGATGAACATTAACGAAGAATTAACGCGTGTCTCTTAGGTTAATTGTACAGTGCTTGGGTCCATTTTGACCTATATTTCCTATCTGAATTCGTAAAGCTGTAGATTGCAATATAAATTAGTTTCATAGTCCTGTAGAAATTCGAAGGGTTAGATTGGTTTTCGTTTACAATAAGCAAAATTAGAAAACGTTTAATTGATAGATGTCAATAATAATTCTATGTAGCGTATTTCTCGCTAATTATGTTTCATATGTTCATATTTTGAAGAGAAGAATGAGAAACTATTGAAATGATAATGAAACGTATTTTCGTGCATCCAAAGCTCATACAATATTATATACTAATTAATAGCTTTTACTAATTATTCTATGTAGTACTTCTCGCTAATTGTTTCATACGTTCATATTTTGAAGAAAAGAATAAGAAACTATTGAAATAACAATGAAAATCGTATTTTCATGCATCCAAAGCTCATGCAACATTATATACCACAAGAAAAGTCGAGTTCAAAGTATAAAATACCCAGTGCTGACTATTCGCTCTGCGAAATTTCAGAAACGAGGATGCAGGCAGAGAAGACCGACACCGAGACCGAGAAGGTCGAGAAGAACCACGTCAAGGAGAAGAACGAGGCCAAGGTGGAGAAAAACGACGCCAACAAGGAGTCGGAGGAGGAGGCGGTCACGAATAAAGTCGCGAATTTGAAGATCGAGGAGGAGTCGGGAAGCTCGGCGCCGAGCAGCCCCGGCGCCGCGCAGCCGGGCAGCTTTTTAGGGAACTTCAAGGCGTTCTCGAAATTCGGCGACTCGAAAAGCGACGGGAAACTGATCACCCTCAGCCAGAGCGACAAATGGATGAAGCAGGCGAAGGTGATCGATGGGAAGAAGATCACCACCACCGACACCGGGATCTACTTCAAAAAGCACAAGTGAGTGTGTTTATCGAACGAGCGTTTACAACAGAGATATTTATAATACATCTATCGCGAATCGATGATTCCCTATGATTTCTTATCGTTGACTCAACGTTCTAAGAGAATCGAAGGGAAACGTTTCACTGATAATCGTTGTTAATTAGTGTACCGTCACACTGGGATAACGAAATACGAGTAAAGTATCTTGGGAAAGTAGTCCAAGGTATTGGGGAGTTGATTGACTATTAACGAGAAACACAGATATTGCTATCTGTTGATAAGGTTCTGTCAATAGGCGGTCTCTAATGACTCCCCGGAGTAATATGTTAATTGAATGATTTGAAAATAGAACTGAATTAGGCGAGCAGTAACGAGATAACCGACGTCGAACGAAGATCGTGAATAACCGGCGAATAATTAATAACTGTGTCTGCTTTTCTTTGTTGCAAATAATAACTCTATGGAAGAATGAGATCTTAGTGAAGCTTAACGTGTTAAGTTTTGGACGAATGTAATAAACGAAGGAATCGATGTTGTTCGAAGAGAACTTAATAATAGCCTCTGATTCGAAGATTAAAGAGGTGCCTAATGATCCATTATATTTTTAATAAAACGTCAAGATAAATCATGCTGATTATGTATTGACAGATCGATGAAATTGGGAATCGAACAGTACAAAGCGTTCTTGGAAGAATTAGCGAAGGCGAAGAAGGTCGATCTAGCCGAGATGAAGAAGAAAATGGCGACCTGCGGGCCGCCTGGAGTAACGAGTAGCACGGCGGTGAGTATTTCCACGTATCCAATGCATCTTGCAATGTGTTCCATTGTGTATCGGCGTTACAAAGCGCATAGGAACGTCGTGGACAGACAGACATTGCATAAACGTTAATCGATATCCGCGAGCCAGTTCGCGATTTTATAAATTAATCCAAGCAAAGGTAGCGCTCGCGTATTTCCTTTCGCGGCCTTGTCCGTCATCGCTATCGACGTCGACGATTTACGGTGTCATCGGCGGCTTAACCTTACAGGGACACGGTTAATAGTAATAAATTTTAAACGAGCGAGCTACGCCGCCCACGGAACTCAATCTTCGGGCTAATCAAGTAGAATATTCCTCGAATGCGCTATCCGTTAAATAGAAGTTCCTTGGAAAAGACTTAGCCTATATGAAACTCTCATTTGCACAACGAATACCCTTTTCATATAATAATTACCTTTTTATTCATTAACACTGAAACTACCGAACAGTTGAATTTTTTCTAAAATTCTCTATAGAAACTCCAAAGGTGCATATATTGTGACTCTAGTTGATTTACAATTCTGTTTGCGTATTGCTATATCAGTTTCGGTAGTAATTTCTCAGAGACACCTGTTAGTTTTTTAATAATCGTAAAAAGAAATTAGGAATGGGTGATTTTGAACCGTCAGGTAGTTTTAGTGTTAATTGTATAATCTTAATACTATAATAATTGATTCAGTCACCGTAATGATTACATACTACTATTCCCATTTCCAGGCTGGAAAGGCAGCGTCCGCAGTGGACAGGCTGACGGACGTCAGCAAGTACACCGGCTCGCACAAGCAGCGTTTCGACGAGGCCGGAAGAGGCAAAGGGATCGCCGGTCGCAAGGATCTGCCGGACCAGTCCGGCTACGTGCAAGGCTACCAGAACAAGGACACTTACAACAAAGCCCATTAACCCGTGATCGCGATGTCTTCGACACTCTCTTGTCCCGTCCACGTATTCCACGCGCGGCGGACGCGCCGATCGTCGCGTTCACGCCTCGTCTTCGTCACATTGTTGCTTCGTTGGTGGTCATCCTGACGATTTAACGGCTCGAATGGCACTGATAACGATCGAGGATTCGAGGGTCGCGAGCGCGTCGCAATCTGGACATTTCGGGCGATCCCTTGGCGATCCCATTGGAACGAAGACACGAACAGAAATGAAGGAAAACGGGATTCGGGACGTTGGTCCGTCTTTGTCACGATCCTCGAGCCCACTGTTATGTATGAACCGACTCGCCGATGAGAAATAACGAAGTAATCAATCGAACGAAGGTAATGATGCTCATTGGTGGCCGCTGAGAGAGACATTCTTCGTTCACGAGGATCGTTGGCCTTTGTTTCGATTTTATGCAATCACTTTACTTGCGGACTTAGATACTTCGACTCTCTATTACATTAACATTGTATTTCGTTCCTTGTTCAAATAAAATAGGGGTTAAGGTAACAAACATCGCGATCGCGAACGGTACGAGTTAAGGAATAATTGTCTGGCGATTTGTTCCGGCGTTGTTTTGGCTCCGACAAAATGGCGTCTCCGTGAGGTTATACGATGTTTCAGAGGCGAGGCAACGTAACGAAGTTATTCCTTTCTGTTTCGATCCGTTGTATTATACGATTTCGCTAACCGTGATAGTTTCCGTTGAGCTTTCTACTTCTCACTTCTCCTGTATTCCGTAACGATCGGGTCTCTCGCTGGCCGCCATTTTGTCGGCCAGCGGCAAGCGCAATAACACAGCTGTTACGCTCGATCGCGGTGTTGTACAGTCGGCGAAACCGAATTTCGGGCGTACGGAGATCGAACTTGTGATTGTTCTTACGATATTTACATTATACATATATATATAAATACTATATATATAAATATATATATACGTAATCGATTAAAGTGTACTTAAAACCGAGCTGCTGGTGACGGCAGCGGCGGGTTCGAGACCAAAATCCGTGACTTGGTACTAACTCTCGGAGATATTTCTGTAAAATATTGAAAGAAACGGAAAGCAGCGGCGGTCGTTCGCGTCTCGTCCGCTGCTGGGACGTCGGATGCGTAATCTTCTCTCAGCCTATTTTCTATCGAGCGTCGTTTCGAGATGAATTGTCGCCGATTCCGAGCTTCCGGTGTCATGTGTTACATTCCCGAATCAATTTCTTCGGAGGGATTTTTCTCGCTTTCCCGCGTGTACGTTTCCCAATTGTATCCGTAACGAACGCACTCCACGAATTCTCTAATCGATGTAAGTACACTTACTTAGGGGACAGCATCGAGATCGTTTCTCTCGAACGAGCGAGCCGTCTTTATTCGGGATAATAAAGAGTTGAACGAAAATTTCGCTTGTGCCTGTTCACCGCACGCCCGCACCGACGATTCTTCAAATTCACCATTTAACCTTTATTATTTCCCTCCTGGATAAATGAAACGTTAACACTTCGGTTGCTAAGTCATTTTACGCTTGTCTAAAGAGCCAATGATTAACCGCCTTGGATTTTTCAACAAACTTTGCAGTAGCCATTTGCAATCACCATAGAGAACTAACAGGTCACTGAAATTAGTAGTATTTAATATCCTTCAAGGCAATTATTTAAAAGAACATTACGAAGTTGAATTTTTATACAGCAGAATCATTAAGAAATCTATTAGTAACCGGTAATAACGATTACCATTCATTTCAGTGAAACGTTAGGAATATTTTCAACGCTTTAGTGGAGGATAGAATCAATCGCAGGCGGAGATAATTGAAACACGCCGATTTCATTGAAAAGTTCGTTTATTTCGGACTCCAGTGCTCCGTCGCAGAGACAGAAATGAACATCGCAGAAGCCAATGCGAGTCCGTGCAAGTCTTCCTATTTAAAAATACAAATCGGAGGAAGTTCGGCGGTCCCCGACGATCGGTGGCCTCGATCGGATCGCGATCGGCGCCGGTCGCGGAGGAAATTAGGTGTAATTAAATGCTTGTCAAGCGAGTCCGTTCTAAATACAATAATCGACGAGATCGTCGCGTGGATCGTTCCGTGTTGTTCACGGGAAACGATTCTCCCCAGCGATCGGTTCGACGCAATTTCCTAACAGTGGAATACAAATCGAGAAGCAATCATCGACGAGTCGCTGCGTCGTTCGTTCTCTTCTTCTTCTTCTTCATTTTTTTTTTGTTTTTTATTCTTTTCACTTTTCGTCGTTTCTAACGTATCGTGCACGCGGCGGTTCACGGTGCGGTTCGTTTACAAAAAGAAAAGAATACTGAGTGAAAGGAAACGATAGGCAAAAATAGAAAGAGATAGAGAGGAGACAGAATTAAATAACGTTCATTAAATTACAACGACACTAGAAACCAATCATCATACGCGTGATATAATACAAATATTTATATTTATATTTATATATATATATATACTATTTATATATAATATATATAGAAAAGTGTATATATATTAAACTCTGTGCTCGATTCGAAATCGAAGTGATCGTACAAAAACAAAAACGGTCATGCAATACAATTGCACAAGAAAAGAGAGGAGCGTGCATTGGACACCGCTAGGGTCGAAACTTCCGAGCACCGTTTCATCCTCGGACTGTCTCTCCGTTATTTCTCGATTCGCTGATTATCTAACGCGGAACTTAACGTAAAAATCGCGGTAATACCTTCGACGGTTCCTAAGCGAACCGCGCGCGTCCGGAACGGCGAGGACCGAAATATGCTCCGAAGGCTTTCGAGTACGGATATCTCGCTACGCGTCGCGCAAGCAGCAAGAGGAATCTCTTCTGACGCGTACGGTTCCACGCGAAGAGTCGTTAAATAAAGATAACACGCGTCGCCCGGAAACGGTGTCTCGTTTCCGTTCGAATCGCCGAAGCCCCGAGCGACGCGGCTTCGGGAAATCGCGGTTTCGTTTCGGTCGCGATCGATGCGATCGCGTTTGAGTACGTTCGAGGGCGGCTTAACAGATCTGAGACCGTGGTCTTAACCAAGAAACCGTTCGTGCAGTTATAATAACGAATAAATTAACATCGAAAGAATTTATTATAACACACAGTTATGGTGACACTTAACCTTACGAGAAGCTAAAAGATAGAAGGATAAGAGGAAACACGTTTTCCGGCGATTCCTATCGTTGCAATATAATGCGTGTTATATTACAATGTAGAGCGAGTTCCGCTCGTTTCATTTGAAACTGACTGATCATACCGATCTCTGTACATGACCCACACGGTGGGTCGTCGGTCTCGAGTGTGTTAAGCGTCTCCCGTTGGCGAACGAGCGTTTCAAAACGGTTCGAGAGTTGGTCTCCCGCAGATGAGACGGAGAGTCGCCAGTGGCTTTTCCTCGAGATGATTACTTTTCTAGAGAAACGGAGAGAGTTACAACTCGGTGAGAGTGTCGACCGACGCTCGAAGCCTCGATCGGCCGGTCGAGTCGCAGGACCCTTTGCTGGTCCCTACGCCGTCCAATCGTGAGATGATCTCGTCCCTGAGGGCGACGAGGACGCGACGATCCTGCCTGTTCTGGGGTGGAGCGATCTGCAGAGCCTCTTGGACGTCGGACAAGGCATCCTCCAGCAAGCCCGAGTCGACGCGCGCTTTCGCCCTGGCGTAGAACGCTTCGTAGGACACTGGCCGAACCTTCAGAGCCTCGTCAGCGAGCTCGATTGCTTCCGCACATTCCTGCGAGCACGGATTATCCGAATAATGAGGATTAACCAAGCTTGAAACTAGGCAACTTGTCTTTCTACTACCAAACACTCCTGACGCTTCCCTTCTTTTGGAGATAATATATATTTGCTAAACTAGAAATCACTCTCGATCCTTTCTTTAATCTCCTTGCACGAGAGATGATTTGTTTGATGTTAGGATCGTGTTTATGATTCCTAACCCTTCGCGGACGAAGATACTTTGAAATGTACAAAACATTCAGCAGATGAAGGTAAATTATATATATATTTCTGAAATGCCGAGGTTCGTCCGCAAAGGGTTAAAATTTAACCACCTGCGGTGGAAAGACGTGCCACGTCGATATGCTTCTGTTACAGGACCGTCAGCGACGTGTTGTACACGTCGACAGGCGATTGTCACAGAAATGTCAATTTTCCAAATCGATTTGAAAGTATTATAACATGCAAGATTATTAATAAACAAACTTAGCATTTATACATATGTAATTTCATCGCCAGTTGATACGTTTTCATATTCTCTTCTGGAACACGTCGAAACCACTGCAAGTGGTTGAAAAAGGAAACTCGAGGAAGTAACGGATCGACGAAACACTCACGTTCATCTTGCGCTTGCATCGACTGAGGTTGAGCAAGAAATTCAGCCGGAGTTGCGCGAACGTCTGCAGCTGCAGCATCATGTGATCATGTTCCTGGCCCTGGCAGTCCTCCTCCGGCGACACCGGGAACTTCCTCAGGGCGTACGCGTACCTGTGCGACGCCTCCTTCAGCCTGTTCTTCCGGTACAGCACGTTCCCGTCCTCGAGGAGTTTGTTCAAGAGGATCAGAAGCACGTCGGGCTTCCCGGCGGCCATCGCCCAAGTGGCTGGGCCCAGTTTAGCGCCCCGTCGCAGGAAGCACTGCACCACGGGGATGTTTCTGCATCCGATGGCACGGTCCAATGGCCGCATACCGTGCAGGTCGACGTGCTCCACAGCTGCTCCCTTTTCCAGCAACAGCTGCACCAACTTCGGATTGCCCTGTGAACAGCGGAGGTTCGATCTGAGGGACTCTATCCGGGACACGCTGGGACAAGTAGATTGAAACTGAGGAAATGCTTCTTTGCAGAATGTACCGCTGATTTTACACTAGAACTACCGGATGAGTCAAAATTACTTATTTCTAGTTTCTTTTACAATTTGAAAAGGTATACTTCTATGAAAAATGAACGAAATTCAATAGCGAAACTAGTCAACTGAAGTCTTAGTAAACGCTTGTGATTTTGATAAAGAAACTTGTAAGAGTTTGTGATCCGTAGTTCTAGTTAACACTTTGACTGCCAAGTAAACACTCGTCGAATGTCCTACGCAATCAAAGCAATTTTCTTAACAACGCTGAAACTGAGAAGTCAATATTCTTCCATCGCTCTACTATCTTTCTAGTATCTCGCATCAAAGAGAATTCAGTTTGTTCGTTTCATCACCGAGAAAAGTAATGTTTATGTGAATCATAGTGTCACCCGAATTCGGGTGACACGGCAGCCAAAGTGTCAATGATGATAGTGTCCTTAGAATTAACCCTCAATAAATATTATCGAATTATTATACCTGGAACGCAGCCAGGTCCAGAGGAGTCCTGCCAGTATTGTCGCTAGTGTTAACATCCGCGCCCCTGTCGATGAGATTCTGCACAGCAGTCAGCCTGCCCCTGACGCAGGCCCAGCAGAGGGCAGTGAGTCCCTCTTTGTCCCTGCTCTCCAATATAGATCCCTTATCGAGGAACAATTCGATCAGGTTCGTGTGGCCCTCGGATGCAGCCAGCATAAGCGCGGTGCGACCTGCGAGATCTCGTTGATCTAGCAGCGTCACCGCATCGTCCAAAATGGTGTCCGTACTGCTGGACAGAGTTCCTGAACAGATGCACAATCGTTAGACGCTGGATCAAAGAACACCTTAAAATCCAGTAAACTATCTACAAACCTTGCAGAAACCTCTCAGCAGTCCCCCAATGTCCCTCTCTAGCAGCAAGCATCAGCGGAGACAGGCCCTTAGCATTGACAGCGGTGGGCCTAGCTCCTCGAGCCAGCAAAGCGGAAACTGTAGCAGTGGATCCATTGGCGGCAGCGATCGTCAACGCGGTTTCGCCTATCAGAGTGTCGGGTCGATCCACGATCACTTCAGCCATGTCCAGCAGGTATTCGACGATGGACTCGTGGCCCTGAGCAGCGGCAGCCACCACAGCTTGCTGTGCAGCTTCCTCTCTGCTCATCTCCTGCGAGTTCTCCGCTTCGTTCTCGCCTGATGGCACCACCCAATCACAGGCCAACAGGTAGCCAACCACGGACAATCTTCCGTGCCTCGCAGCGTGAACCAAGGGACACTGGCCAGCCATGTCTGCGTGTCCCAGCGATGCTCCAGCAGCAGCCAACCTGATGTTTAATATTCTCGATTATCTTCCGATCGTTAACGCGTTCTACTATGAAACTTTGCGACGCGAAAGTTTGAAATAAATGGTAGCCAATGTCTGCAAGCGTTGTTTACCTTCTGACCACGTCGCAATGTCCGCGAGCAGCTGCCAACGAGAGCGCTGTGCAGCCCTGGCTGTTCGTCAGCTCGACGTCAGCGCCGAATTCTAGTAACAGGGACACCATCTCGACGGAGCCTTCGTGCGCGTACATGCACAGAGCCGGCGCGTTGCCCAGGTACTCGGTGATGTGGTTCGGAGATGCTCCTGCCAGCAAAAGCAACCTCGAAACCTTCACGTTCGGGCTGTAGATGTTCCTCAACGTGCAGAGAGCGGATGACACGCACTCCGTCGACGACGCTAGCCAGATCGCCTATTGAACGAACGGAAATGAAATTCATGGAATCACATTCAGGAATTTTTCATTTTCTAAATCTCATTATATTTCCTTTGTCAACGTTGAAAGTAGTCAATTTTTTCTAGAACGTTGCATTTAGAGGCATTTCGCTATTGTACACAAAGCACGATTAAAGACATTGATGCACGAGTAGCAGGAACAGGTGGACTTTACCTGTAGATCACGCGAAGGCCAACAAGGCGCGACGCCTCTATAAACGTGCGCCTTCAGTATGTGGTGACCCAGTTCGAGAGCCTTGTCGCCGTCTAACGGTGCCTGGAGACGGGACAGCCTGTACGCGATCGCCGCGTGACCGAGCCTCAGATCGCAGAGGAACTTGGTCGACTCGCCCTCATCCCTTCTCATCAACCACTCCCTGAACGACGGGTGGAAGAACATGTACGTGTTGTCCAGCCGTTTCACGAGGAATCCAGAGAGCATCTGATAAACAACACGAAATACCGTTTTGAACATCGAATGGGCGGATTCGGGTTGCGAAACGCGGTCTACCGATACGGTCAATAACGTGGCTCTTACCTGTTCCCTTTAGGCAGCGTGGGGCGAAAGGGAATGATTAGGATGATTTATTTCCCGTACACCATTATTTCATATTCGAGGACTGCGTAATTGGATTGCGAGTTTTCGATTTCTCAGTTCGCAGGGACAGATTGTTTCAATCTTCCATCTCGAACGGAAGGTTGATCAAGGGAAAAATTGTGAACATCCCGATGAAAAGGGATTTAAATTATACTATGACAATGATACATCTAGCTTTTATCTTAGCAAACTACAATCAAGTCTCTCGAAAACACGTCCAATTACTCAGCGCCGTCAAGAGCAATTACAAAAATCGCGTCGACCATGTAACTCACTTTGAATCTCTGCAGAAAATCCTCCCATGAAACGAATCGGTCGGCGTTCAGCGAGTTGACGGAGTAGAATATCTCCGGCAGAGTGAGCGGGTACAAAGCAGCCAAGCAAACGCCGAGCAGAGGTTGTACCCTGTCGAACGAGGTGGCCGTGGGGAACCGTAGGTTGAAGTGCAGCTGGAATATCTGCGCGAGAGACACCGGAAGTACCTGGAACGTCGAAGGATCGTTGACCGAAGGTACCGCGTATTATCCTAGATCCCTCTATCTAGCCGTGAAAGCGAGATTCACTGGGAGATAGGATGTCTCGCTCACCTTGTAGCTGGCGGATTTAGCTACCAAGTGGCCGCTCTCGATAAGATCGAGCGTCAGCTTCGCGAAGAGAAAGCTGCCTCTGGCCAGAGCGAGCAGATGCGAGGCGAATCGCGTCTGGTTCGCGCTGCACGACGACTCCGCCTTCCCGTTCACCGACGCGGTGACGTTCGTCTGGATCGCGGGGCTCTGCGCCAGCCTGTACCCGATGTAATCGGACAGGTCCCGGGTCACGTTGTTTCCGGTGCTGTCGTTCGGCACCTTGTCCAGCGAGACCCTGGTGTACGGGAGCTGCTTCCCGCACTCGAGCAGCTGCGTCCGGACCGTGCAGATGATCTTCAGCCAGCTGGGGAAGTTAGGGGCGTGCCTGGTTAGGAACGACGCTATCGTGTCGCCTCGGTCTGGTCTGTGGTACTCCGCCTCGCAGACGGCGTCGATCAGGATCACCTGGAATATTAGCGTCCACTAATACTAGCCCGTATCCATGGTAACTGGGACCTGTAGCGAGGCTGAAGGAGGATCTCAGGTGGGAGGTAAAGTAGTTTTGATTTGATTGATTCTGTGGCACGCAATTCTTTGGGATTAAAGTATATTGGTGTCTAGTAGTCTGTTCATCTTTTGGTTTGATGGATTGCGTGGCAGGCAATTCTTTGGGATCACAAACGTACCATATTGGTGTCCGGCAGCCTGTTCATCTTTTTCAGGGTGGACAAGGGTTCGATGATGCCTCTGGAAAGCGCGAGGTCTGGGTCAACGGTGCACTCCCTCTGCGACAGGGAGCCTTGGATGTGGGGTTCAGAGAGCAGGTACTCTCTGTAGGAGATCAGCTGAGGAGCCTGGCAAAGCTGGGCGGCTAGAGAATGTATCAGGTCCGGTACCAGGCAGGTACTGTTGTTGTCCGCTTGGCAGAAGTGGTAAGCGACCACGTGGGAGGCTAGCTCTCGAACCTGAAGAGAGGAACACTTGGAATATCTGCGTTTTACAGGAATTTTCCAGTGATAAGTGTTGGCGTACCTTCTCGTTCGTGTTGCGAATGCCAGCGTGCAACGCGGTGGCGCAACCGAGTTTCTCTTTCTCTTCAGGTTCCTCGGTGATCTCGGACGGAAGGCATTGTTCCCTTCTCCGCCCGAAGCAGCTGTGCTCCACCAATTGTAGAACCAACGCGGTCTTCCCTGTTCCAGGGGAGCCGGAGATGAGAACGCCGGGGCTGGACCCGTTCACCACGGAATCGATCTCTTGCAGCAGCCATTGGCGACCGGTGAATAGGGGATCGGTCTCCAACAGAGGCACCTCGAAGAAGAGCGGCTTCAAGGTCAGCTGTGTCGCGTGGTGTTGGATGAAGCGTACTGGAAGATCGGTTTTATGCTAACATCTAGAGAGCACTTGAAATTCCGAAGCTGATACGAAGTAATCATGCAACTGAGAATTACGGTGACAATATAATTACTCCAGTTTCAGTATTTATCATCTGTTTCCTCATAGAATGATTCTCGAAAGTTCTACGCAAGCAACGTCCACATCCAAGAAAACTTACATTTAGCATCAACCGCGCCTTTCACGTTGCCGGTCCTAGCGGACCTCCTAGCGCAGGACCGTCTGTTCTTGAACTGTCCAGGTTCATCGGACTGTCCAGGCTGCGAGGCGTTCACGGAATGTCTTCTAGGAGTTAACGGGCTCGAGCTGCCGTTCGACAGGCCCGAGACGGACACCGACATCGACATCGACATGGACGTGGACGCGGACACCGAGGTGGAGATCGAAGCTAGGCTCCCGGCGCTGTCGCAGTCCCTGGACTTGCTCTTGCCTTTGGCCTTCGACTTCGGCTTGATGGGACATCTCAAGGCAGCTGCGGCTTCAGCCTCGCTGGAGGTCCCAGTCAGCGTGGACACCGGGCTGGTATTCGTGGACGCTAAAGTTTGCGTCTCGAAGCTGGTCAGGCTGCTGAACGAAGCAGCGGAGCTGTCGTGGCCTTGAATGGGCACCCTGGACTGTCCAGGGCCAGAACGGTTCGAGACACCGGGTAGATCGCTGGTGTCCACGCTGCTGTTCGCTCGCGCGTGATTGCTGCCCAAGAGTAGTCCCAGCCTCATGTACAGGTCTGACTGCGAGGACTTCCTGGTCTTCGAGGTGAGAGGCTTCACGCAACCTCCTTCGTCGTCTGCAAAGAAAGATCCAAGGTCAGCGTGTCCCGTAAAGGATATTCACGGTGGAGACACACAAAACACAGATCACGATGCAGGGTCCGTGGTAGGGTGACCTAATCGAACGTTTAAGCGTGTCTACCTAAATCGTTCCAAAGTGCTCAGCTACTTAGGGTACACATTTAAGGTGACGGGTTTCCATTTGTTGCTGGAACGAAGGGGAAATCGTGCTTCGATCACGCCACACGTGGATGACTAGTGTACAGCATGCATCAATCCAGCAAATCGGTGCTCTACGATACGTGTTAGCGGAGAGAAAGAGTGTATCGGCGGGACAAAGTGGGGAACGAGGGATCAGCGTCAGAAATAGAAAGAGAGGCGCGCCTCTTCCTCGGAGAGGATCGTCCTCAAGCACAGCTAGCCGTGTCAACTCCAAACCAATGCACACACACTCGCGCGCACGCGATTTTTTCTAAAATGTCTCTCCCTGCCTGTGAGTTTGCTTCTCGGCTCGATCAGCTGGTTCAGACCGTCGCTCGCCGTCCCCTGGCTGTTGCTCCACAAAGATTTGATTTTCCCCAGCACTACACCCGGCCATCTTGACTTCCCCTCCCAAGACGACGTCATCCAAACTGCGAGGTGCGTGCGGGTATTCAAGGTTAATGAGACTCGAAGCTGACGCCCGGTGCATAGTCTGTGCTCTGATCGAGACTAGGTTCTCATCGGATCGAGACGATAGTCTTACCTGATAGGGCGGAGGGATTGTCGTTGGCAACGGGTTCTGGGGACGAGGCGCCTCGCCTGGACGACCGCTGCGGAACGAACGAGCTCCTGAGGACCTTCGGGTTCAGGAAGAACCTCTTCCTCTGATTCGGCGGAGTGGGGCAGCCTGTCGAATAGATTTTCTATTGTAGAAGCCTGATCATAGATCATCCCTGTTACGATCGTGCGAAAGATTCCACAGCGAACGATCGTAGCAGGACGAATCAAAGACAAATCGGTCACATACTCTGCGTCATCATCTGAAGCTTCTGGCGTCCCTGGGAGCCCGAGGACTCCGGCAAAGCGGATTTATTCTTCAAGCCCTTGCTCACCGAGGAGACTTCGTCGGCATCTCGCTGTTGAACGGAGAACAACAAGCCGTTTAACAAAAAGCAATTACATTCGCGTTTCATTTGTCATTTCCCCGGCGGAGCTCTCGACGAGTACCGCGAATGTCTATCAACATGCCAGCCCCGAGGCGTCATTCGAGGCTGGCTAACCGGCGCTATCGAGCAGGTACGACAAAGGTCTTGTCGAACAATGGCGCGCAAACGTTCTAGACATTCCGGCGTGTCTCTGTTCCGAGTGCTCGAGGAGACACCGACAAGACACTCGTCTCGAGGCCCTCTCCGTGTTCCTTCCGCTCGAGGACCACTCCGACGACGACGATGCTTACGTGCATGACTCGGGACGGAAGGTTCGCCCTCGTGGTGACTTTAGTGCGTGGTCTGGGACTGCCGCAGAGAGAGTTCACCGTCGATGACTCATCGATCCAGCCGTCCGTGGGCGCGAGGATGGACATGGGTCCCGAGGTGCCGGCGAACTCGTCCCTGAAGGGTCCCTCCAGGCCGTCCTCGTCGTTGAAGTCGGCGCGCAGGCAGAGCGGGCATGCCTCGCTACGGAACAGGCAGGAGTAGCAACGCTCGTGCCCGCAGGAGTCGATCAGGCGGCGTTTCTTCCCCTTGTCGAACGGCATCTCGCAGGATGGGCACGTCGATCCGCCCAGCATCCCCGTGGACTCTACCAGCGCTCGGATCTGCGCTAGATCTGCAACAGAGAGATTCGGTTAATCTCGCGTACTTGGAAACGTGCGTTCTTTATCCTTTTAGGTACGGGAATAGAGATTACTTAGGAATAGAGTTCCAAATGAATCAATTATAATTTCTTTATATATTTTCCCAATTGGTGCGATCCACGAAAGCCACTACAGTGACGTTCCATGACAATTGATGCCATCCGCGGAAGCCATAGTGGCGTACCCTACCTAAAAGGTTATAGGTTCTTGATATTATATCGGTATTCGATGCAGTGTTATTTACTTGTATATTAACCCTTTACTTGACTCTCAGTCACCACTCGATTTGACACAGTAAAACTATAGAACGTGATATTTAATGTTAAACTTTAATGCCTCGATACGTGAAACATTGGAATAAAACAGCTTAGTTCCTCCATGTACTGATTTCTCTTCGAATTAGTCTCAAAGAACATCGTCCTCGCCTCCTAAAGGAATGTTAAATATTTCTAGTATGAAACATTCGAGTGCAAAGGGTTAATGTTCGTTTAAATCACAAAGTTGATCAAATTCATCTTCAACCCTTTGCCGGAAGCTTTTCGCTAGAGATACTCTAACATTTTCTGATGAGATACAGGCTATATTTGAAACGAAGCTTGCGAGTGTAAACGGACTGTGTTTATATAAACAGACTTCGTTTCAAATATACAGACTATATTTGGGAAGCTGTGAGACTATAGCAACGAAGCTATTTTATTTCAGTATTTCTCAGATTGATTCACTATACATATTAAATACCAAATTTTATAGTTCTATATGAAATCAGCGAGAGTCGCCTCTCGAGCACAAAGCGTTAACTGAAGATCGGAATGCCACAATGTTTAATACAGTGAAATCTTCCAAGGAATTACTTTCAGATCTCCAAAGCTGGATTAGATTATTCAGAACAGGGAATTCATAATCGACGGAAGGTCCCCGAAGAAACTTGACACCGAGGAGTCTAAATACAGAGCACCAACTCGGATCAACTATCCACCATAAGATCCTCATTAGACCCCGAGCACCGTCTACAATAGGATCACGGTGTCCATTTTCCGTGCGCGCTACATGCACGGCGCAAGAGAGCAGTTCTACACGGGCGAAACAACTTCCGTGAGACGAATCAAGCCCAGACGTTCTACTTTAACGAGTCGCGAGGCTCGTTTGACAGCGGGACCATCTGTCACGAACAATCTGTACGGGCCCTGGTATCTCGGTTAGTAGAGACACGTCGTGTGTCAGGGAAGCGCCGTTCGTTCATCGATAATGGATAAACGAGCCGTGCAAGTCGAAGGCGCCATATACTTAAAGGATTCTAGAAAGTGAGGTCAAGAGGAGACCTCACGTGCTCCCCCTTCGATCGTCCTCACGTACGAGCGAACGCGGAACGAGAACCTGCCCGACGCGGCGCGGCGCGGCGTCGCGTCCCGAGCTCCGCTTCTATTCCTGATCCCCGGACCGTGATCCTCTCTCGATCGATTCCACCTTTCCTCGTGCCGTTCGTCATATCCCGATATTTATGGCGCAGCCTCGGTAATCGGCTTCGATTCAACGTCGGGAAATTATGTCGCGATGCTTTACGAGGGAAAGAGAGCTCTCCTTCGGCCGGTCTGCCGAGTTTTCTAAATTTCATCTCCTCCGCTTTGTATTACGGGCTTATTCATTGCTCCGCGCGGATCATGAATGTTCCGAATAATTTATAGTAATCCACACTTTCGAAAGTTCGCCTCGGAGAGATCGTGCAACAGTTCACCCCTGTTGTATATTTTATTACGGTGAGCAGGAAGAATTTATCGGGTCGTGTCGGGATGTTTATCTCGGATTTTTTAAAGGGATAAGATTTGTTGATAGTGGTTGATTATCGAATAGGAGAGCGGAGTGTTGTTTGTGTTACTCGATATTGTAGGTGGTTGAGTTCGAGTTCAGCAGATTTTCGAAACTGCGGAGCGTCGGTGGCCAACGGGGCGTAGAAACGAGAGAAGCGCAGGTGCCGGTCACGGGTGACTGCCGCTGCGTTCGGTGCGTTAAGTTTCTCGATCCTCTTCGTTTCGCTGATCGTCTAAACGCCGTAATTACCGGCGACGGGAGTTCAACGCTCGCGGAGGGAAGGATCGCGAAGAGGAACTGAATGAGCCGAGGTATGCAAATTGCGGATTAATACGATCACGATGAGCGGTCGTGGCAGTTAAGTCGTGGGCGCGCTGCTTCAACGATCACTTTGTGCAATTGACGTGCTCCGGCCGAGGATGCGACCGATCCGGAGCCATTAGACGGCGAATTGAAATTCAGATATTTGGCGGAACAGTGGGTTCATTGTTCCTTGACCCTCCTAGTTGGCCGCCTTCCACTCGGAAACGTCTGGACGAGTGCTATCAAACTAAACCTCGACGATTACTCGCATTTCGCGAGATGATAAGTATGATAATACTCCGCTGGAATGCGACAAACCCAATTAACCCTTTAACTTCGATCTTTTCTACAAATAAGATGAAACTTTAAATCTCCAAATGATGTACATACATTAGTTCATCCCAATATAACAAATCCTACAAGTTTCAAACACCCAAGATACTTCTATTCTAAACAACCCACACGATCCACAAAAATTACAGAATCTATTGTACTGTTCTCTTCATTCCACAAAAATTCAACACATACCTCATATTCATCTTTCGAGTTACTTCAACGCAGTGTTCGCTATCAGAAAGAAGCTCGACAGAGAGACGACTGAAACAGTGTCAGCGCGAACTCGCGGAAGAAAAGGCGCGCGGCCGTCGAAAGAAGCAGGAAAAAAGTAGAAGAAGAAGCGGCAGAAGGAAGTAATTCGGGTCGCACGACCCTTTATCCCGGTAAGTCAGTGGCGAGGCAGGTGCAGCTCGGCTCCGGGGCTCTCGCTGCGTTACCGTAAGCTGGGTCAACGCACCCGACGCGGCGAGACCTCGCTTCCACGGTAAACTCGTACAACGAGCGATGTCGTTTTCTCCGGAGGCATCACTGACTCACGCGTTTCCGCCGTGTATCCAGTTTCCATCCTCTCGGGCATCAGGCCCCGGCCAGCGAAGATTTACGCGCGCGCTCGCGAGAGAGAGAGAGAGAGAGAAAGAGAGAGAGAGAGAGAGAGAGAGAGGGGCCGAGCGCGCCCCTCCGGATGTCGAGGGTCGAGGAAACGTCTGCGATCGCGCGGCTCTTTTACTTTTCCCCCGACCAGTTATTACCTCGATCGGAGGAAAAGAAATATCGCCGATTCGCTCCTCGCAAAAAGAGGATCGAACGAAACTGGAGAATGGAACGCCTCCTCTTCGAGGCTTTCGTTTTTTAACGGACGAGGGATAAGATAATTCATTCAGGTGTCTTGTGCTCTGACGTTTTTATTTGGAAATTAAGGATTCACCGTGATCCCCGTGTTTTGACGTTTTTATTTGGAAATCGGAGATTCGTCGGGATGCCTGTGCCCTGACATTTTTATTCGGAGACGTTGGTATTTTGGTATTTCGTTATGAAAAGGATTGTCTCGCGATAGAATAGAGCGGTGAATGATTATACTCGCTGGGAAGAGAAAGGGTCAACGATGCATTCTTTTTCGTCGAGTTCTCTTAAACGTTCGCTCGCGAGGAGAATAATATTAACGAACATGCGCGGTTCGCAATTAGCATCGCCGGTGTTTCCATAAAAACGAACCGTATATTATTCATAAACACGCCTCTGGCGTTTCCCCGAGCAATAAACTGTGTTTCGGGTTTATCGCGCGGCGGAGACGCGACCGACCCAACGGAAGCTCGTCCGCCATTCTTTTTCTGGCCGTTGATCACTCGAAATGAAGTGAGAACGCCCGGTTTTTACGACTAACGGAAGAAACTCGGCCGGCGCGGCGGCCGGGCCGAACATGCTCGTCCCATCCGCCATATTTACGCGGCGGTGCCCATTTTTTTTCGCGCGGCGGGCACGATCGCGTGGACTCGTTTCGCTCGTTCGCGTTTTCCATTGTAATTTAACCGTTGGACGCTGCAACGGCGGATGAAATCGCGAGATTCTCGTTTTAACATCATCGAAAGACCGGCGATACTAACTTTCTGGTTATTCATTAGAGAACGACGACGTTAGATTTTTCCGTCTCTAATCGAAAGCTGAAATGAATGAGTTTAATTGGCATAATTTATTCCTCTATTGAGAGACCGCTCAATGGTTCCGAGTATCCGTGCTTTCGAAAGGTTACAGGCTAACCTGTTGCACTCCGAGCAAACGGACCAGACCTCAATGGTCGACTCCTTTCTTTTCTTAGACTCCCGAGTTACTCAATGACCACGGAAAATCTTGACAACCTGTTACATTACGCAACCCTCCACAAACTTACAATATTTATTAACCGAACGTGACTGCAATAGAAACACTCTGCGCCCGAACGGTACTGCCGGCCTTAAAAGCGCAAAAGTGTTCCCGGGAGTTTCGGCTTTTCTTTTCCGTCCCCGAGCCGATCTAACAAGGTGAGAACGAGCATCGAGGGCCCCGTGCGCCGCGAACCGTGTAAATCCAGCGTCTATTATTCCCACGTTTCCTAGACCGTGACGGTTCGCAACATCGAAACCTCTCGATCGAGTGGGAAGAGCGCTCTTCCAGCATGGGACTTCCATCTTCCCTTTCTTCCCTCTTCCTCCTATTTTCCCCCTTCGCGGGGCGAGGAGAAAGGACCATAGGGCAACGGTCCGCCGTTTTCAACTTTCTCCAATTATTCCGAAGGCGAGAATGAACCGGCGGTCGGAGTCGCTCCCGTGGAAAATGACCCGATTTCTTATCGACGCTGGCCCGCTATCGGACGCAACTGTGTTTATCGAGATCCTCAATGAATCCAGTTGTCCGCGGGGCCGATGAACGCGTGAGAAGCGGCGATCGAAAGGTGACTCATGAATTGATTACGGAATATGTGGAATAATAAATAACTTACGACATGTACTTCAAGTTTCTGTTAGAAGGAAACCATCGGAAATATTGAAATCTT